CCTGCTAGGCCTTGAAGCGCTGGGGCGTGAGGGAATACATCGCCTCAGCAGGCCCCATCGCAGCCCCGCCTCAGTGCCCAGGTGTCCAAATCGATCCACGCCCTTCCTCCTCAGGTTCTGCCGTGTGGCACTGAGCGGTCATAGCAAGGCAGGAACTGTGAGTCTGTTAAAAACGACCCTGCTGCGTTTAAAGTGCTGGGAGCGGCGTGTCAGTAGAGGGTAAGGTGTTACTGTATGAAGTGTGTCAGGGAGCAACTGAGGAGCTCTAGTAATAGAAGTCCAAACGTCTCCCACCTGGAATGTTGCGTCTGGTTCTGGGGTCCCCAGTACAAGACAGACATGGAGCAGGTCCAGAGAAGGCCACAAAAATGATTAGGGGGCTGGAATACATATTCTGTGAAGACAGGCTGAGAGAGTTGGGGTTCAGTCTGGAGAAGAGAAGGCTCCAGGGAGACCTTATTGCAGCCTTTCAGTATGTGAAGGGGGGTTATAAGAAAGACTGAGACTTTTTTTCAGGTCTTGTGATAGGATGAGGGTTAATGGTTTCAAACTGAAAGAAGGCAGATTTACATTAGATGTTAGGAAGAAATTCTTTACTGTGAGGGTGGAGAGGCACTGGCACAGGTTGCCCAGAGAAGCTGTGGCTGCCCCCTCCCTGGCAGTGTTCAAGGCCAGGCTGGATGGGGCTTTGAACAACCTGGTCTGGTGGAAGATGTCCCTGCCCATGGCAGTGGGTTGGAGCTAGATGATCTGTCAGGTTTCTTCCAATGCAAACCCTTCTATGATTCTGTGATCTTGTGAATAGGTGAGAGTTTAGATGTGATGAGGAACCCTCCAGTCACCCCTCTCACTTGGATCAGATATGTTAAAATATACCTTTATAATGAAAATATTTTTTTATATTCTTAAAAATATTTCCTCCGTAGCAAGTGAAAGGTGATCAGAAAGACAGATTTCTTTGTTTTGTTCTGAAAGCCTTGCAAAGGCTGGGTGTGTTTATGCTGCTAATAGCTTGGGGGAGAATGGGGAGGGAGCTTGTGTAGGTCATGCCCAGCAGCGTTGCTTTCCCCACAAAGTGCAAATGGAGGACACAGGGAGTGTAGGGTAATAGGTGTATGGTTTCCTTCTCCCTACTTCAGTAGTTCAAATCCTTCACTGTACTGGGGTGAAGAGGAGAGCAGAGCAGGAGCTAGAGCTGTAGGTTTCAGCAGTGCGCTGGTAGTCAGGGGACTTGGGTTCTTTTCCTTACCCCTACTGCAGATACACTGAGTGACATTCTGTGCCTTAGTTTCCTCCTGTGTAGAATGTGTGTGTTTACATGCAAGGATGCTTTCAGAGTTGGTTCTGGAGAGGAAATGCTTAGACTAACTGGTAATGTTTCAGCAAGGTGTACTTGGAAATGGCACAATCCCCGTGCACTTGCCAGCAATGTTCCTGTCCCTTTTTACTTTCTGTTTCGTTTCTTGTTTTCTTCCATTTTGTCACTGTTGCACAAAAAAAAAAAAAAAAATCCACCACTTGCTTGTGGGAAACGGCACAGGTACCAGAGAAGCAGTCAGGGGCACATGACTGTTTCTTTCCCTCAGCTGCTGCCTCTCTGTCTTCTGTTTTGCAGCTTCGTTTGCTCTGTCATTAGTAGGGGGCAGTGGAAGGGCCTCCAGCTCTTACAAATGAATTAGTCACCTTAGGTGCCCACAGTCCACTTCTGTGGCAGTGAAAGTGAAAGCTGGCTGTGAGGAGTTGCAGAAGGACTTTGTGACAGCGAGTGATTTGACTGTAAGGTAGCAGGTGAAAATCCAGCACTGATAAGTGGGAAACGATGCATGTGTTAGAGCAACAGTCATAATGCTTGTGCCCTCCATGCTGTCTGATACCACTTGGGAAAGAGATCTGGGGGACTGTAATAGACAGTTCTATGAAAGTGTCAGCCCCAATGCTCAGAAGCAGTCTAAAATGTGATTGGAATATTAAGAATTATTAAGAAGAGAAAAATATGGAGTGCCGTTGTGACTTTGCATTGTAAATGGTAGCCCACCCTTTTGAAGGTCCTTTGCTCCTCTTGGGGCAAGGAGGAGTAGAGAAGAGATTGAGAAGTGACAGGGATGATCAAAGATGTGGAGCAGCTTCTGCACAAGGAACAACTAAATAGTTTCAGGTTCTTCAACTTGAAAAAGAGACAATAGGAGAAAGAATAACAGATCTAAGCTGTCATGGGTGTTACTGGAGGAGCTGAGTAAGGAATGATTTGTTGCATTTTCAGACAGATCCCAGGGTGTCAAATGGAATCCGTGAGCAGCAGGCTTTTAAGCCCTGTGAGAGGAAGGGTTGTTTGGGTGAAATGTAATTAAACTATGGAACTGGAACCATGCCCTTAGCCTCTCCCTTCTCGCCTGAGAACAGCCAGTCAGATCCATCGCCCCATCTAGCTCAGTATCCTCTGCCTGGCAGTAATCTGTAGCAGAAAGCTGGGGAAGAGTGCAGGGCCAAAGCAACGCTCCTGTGGGGACAGGATACTGAGCTAAACGGGGCAGCGGGTGCAGGCTGGCTGCTTCTGCAGTGCGGAACAGCCAAAAGCTGTCCTTCCACTGCTTCAGGGTTCCTGCAAAGGCCCTGGAGTAACCCCACGGCTGACCTTGACGGAGTATCCTCTGTTCTCCTGCAGCACCAGGATTTCTCCTGAGCCTGTGAGAACACCAGGGACTGTAGACTCCATCTTTAGCCTCTTCCTCACGAAATTCCCAGAGCCCCCAGAGCTGGATCCTCTGACTGGGCCTGAGCAGGGCCTATGTATCTGCATCGACTCCAGGTATCAGCTTGCTACAGAGAACTTTTTCTGAGTTCTAGACCATTGAAACTCTAGCTTGGTCTGCTTTTTCATTTCTTTCTGTCTTTTTTTTTTCCTATTGTATTTCTGCTATTTCTATTTCTATACCTTTCTGTTTGTTTATATCCTATTTATTTAATGCTGAAGTTCTGAGACTGATGTGACGGTCACTGTATATTGGAAATCAGTCCCTACCCTAACTTGCTTACAAGAGGTAGAAGGGCGGGGAGGAAAAAACCCAGATGTGTGTGGAGGCAAAGTGACTTGCTGGGATTAAGGGGGGGGGGGGGGGGGGGGGGGGGGGGGAGGGGGGAATCCCCTTCTACTCTGGTGGTGTTCTCACTTGAGATCAGCCCCTCTGTTTTACGGACAGGAGATGGGAACTAATAAAAACAGAGGTTGGTTGTTGAAAGGCACAGAAAGGTTGTGAGATTTGCTGGACTGTGAAGTGTCCTGCTTGTTTTGTACTTGGACCTCACTGCCTCTCTCTCACTAGAATAATTTAACTTCAAATCTTCTTATTTCTTGAAAGTAAAAGCAGGCTTTTCTCACCCTTATCCTACAGGAGTTTGTGCTGTCAGAGGTGACGTCTCCAGCAAAGGGCAGTTTGACGTGTCATACCTAGTAGGAGTGGGAAATTATTGAAGATTTCTGCGGTGGACTTGCACAGAAACCACAAAGTAAAATTTCTGCTACCAATGTATGGTGTGATGCTCTAAACTGCTAGTGGAGGATGCGGGTAAAGGCTTATCCAGAAGCATTTAGACTGTTTTGTGAAACAAGTGGCTGGCCTTAAAATTTTGCAGCTGCTGAGGGAAAAGAGAGACTGTGTGAAGAAGAACAATTAAGACTTGAGTGGATATGGCCAGAAAAAGAGAACAGATGTCCATGGGGCAAATCCCAGGGTATAGAGAAAATTGTGTCGCTCTGTTAGTGCTCTGCCTGACTGAGAGATTGTTCAGATCTCTCGTTTCTGACTGTCTCCTGCCCCCTTTTGCTTGCAAGCCTCTCCACGCTTCTTTGCTACATCCTTTTCTCAGTAAGGATTTAGTGTTTCTTCCTTGTTTTCTGTGAATTCCTGGAAGGCACTGGAGAAGTTTGGGGACAGCTATTTTTCCCTCATCAGTTGACTTGCCGACCCACATGTGGCGGAACTAGCTGAAGGAAGGCACTGCTATGAATGATTGACCTCCTCCAAAAAAAAGAGGTTTCACATCTAGGGCACGATTTGCTGGCCTGCTCTTGGGCCTGTCGTTGGGGCAGATATTGCCGAGCGAGCTTGAAAACTCCTGTATTACCCCTTATGACTTGTTAGTGACTTTCCAAGAGAAAATAAACAGTTCTTCTCCTGCTGTAACTGCTGGAGCTCCTGGGAGCTGGTTTCCATCCCACTGCTGTCCCAAGAGCGGGCTTTGCCTTTTCTACTGGTAGTTGTTGCTGGAGGAGCAAAGCACCAACATTCAGGGGATGTAGGTGAAGGAGCAGTTAGAGGGCAAATGCTAGCAAGCTCTGCTTTCCCTTCTTCGTCCTGCTTGACATATGATCGTTACATCCATTGCTTTGTGTTTTGTCCCAGTTTTCCTACTCTAGGTGTTTTCTGGATAATGGCGAAGATGGTGAGAAGAACGTGTGCGTTTTGTTCAGAAGGGGAGGCTGGTTCTGTAATGTATATTGCCAAAGAGCGAAATATTGCAGCTCATCAGGATTGTCTGGTGAGTTGCTTTTAGTCGGTCGGTACTGAAGAGAAATGGAGAAGAAGGGCTAAAGGGGAAGTTTTCCACTGCTTGTCTGTTTTCGACTCTACAATGGTCTCTGAATTAAAAGGCTGATTACCCAAACCAGCAAGCTTATGTTAGACTGAAAAGCAACAGGGCTTGGCCAGAATTTTGGAGAGGGGGAGGACACAGCTGCACAGCTGGACTTGTTGGTTTGTGGTGTTTTCATGTGTGTCTGTTCAATGGTTGTAGACACACATACAGCCTAACAGCAGGGATATGTCTTCTTGGGACGCTAAATTGAATGAGGCTTCTCAGACCACAGAAAGTTGTGTACTTAAACCTTTGCAGGAGAATAGTCACATCGCTTGATGTGTCAAGGTAAAAAAACTTTCCAGTCTGTGCCTTATATAAAATAAGGAGTAAAAATATTGGAAGTCGATTATATAAAACCATCTGTGAAGCTGTAAGCGTGCTGTGATCCTAGAAGTTATTTACGCTTCTGACTGTCAAAATGCCTCCCCTTTATTCTGGGATTTTAGTGGAGATGGTTCTTAGTGTGCAGAATCAATTACAGGTGCCATACTTTCCCTTTCATCGTTTAGTCATTTAGTGCAGGAGATGCGTCTGCCGCTAGAGGAGCTTTGAGTTTCACTGTTCCAGTTGTCTTATATGTTCTCGCAGGTTTTCTGTTAACATTTTTATTTTTCTACTACTTTTTTTTCTTTTTTTTTTTAAGCAGAATGTTTCAGAAACGTTTGGTGCCTGTTTTACAGTGTTACTTGGATGTTTTTGTTTGAAACAGGTTTTCATGTTTTGCTAGGGCTACGATGTTGCTCCAGTGTTGAAACTTTATCCCGCCCCCACCCTTAACTGATTTCTCTGCTTTAGACTTCTCTGCACTGTTTGGGTTTTTTGCAGTTAGCTATCGCCAGACTGTGCCTGCCAGTTGCCGTGAGAGTAGCTCCCTTTTGTTTGGAATTAGCAATATATAATGATTAGAAAAAAGTTGCTAAGAACTCCCCCTTCTTCACTTATTGTCATGGCTCAGCACTTCTATGGGAACTGAAGTGGCCCAAATGTGCGTGTATACATTTTTTGTGGGTTTCTCCCAGGCTTGTTCTGCGTTTCTCATGCAGTCAACTGTTGTCAGCATTGGACTGTGTGGAAATGTTATTACAGAGGCGTGTTGCGTCCAGCTGTAAGGCTGAAAACTGAGCAGATAACAAAATGTTCAAGGTGTGGAGGTCTGTCAGCTGAAGAGCTTCTCCTCCTTGCGCTGGGCAGCCTGGACTTCCAGACTTTCTGCATTCATGCTTCTAAGTTCACTTTCTCACCTTGTTGTCTTTTCTTAGTTCACCTTCAGGTCATGTGAAATCTATATAGACAGAGGAACTTCTTTTGACTGTGGAAAGGTTTAAGCACAGCTCATTTTTCAATGTAGGTGAAACCTCTTAAAAACACAGAGAAAAATCAGCCTTCTTAGGCAGGGCAAATGCAAGAAGAAAAGATGTACCCTTCCTCTCTTTTCTGCACTGGTGACTGAGTCCGTCTATTAATTTTTAATATCTCTTTTGTCTTTAGTTATTTTCCTCAGGATTTGTGGAATCTGAAGAGTATAACCCAGAAAATCTGGATATAAGGTTTGATGTGGCATCAGTGTTGAAAGAACTCAAGAGAGGAAAGCGGCTGGTAAGGAGTTTCTTTCTGAATCTGCACTTAGTCCTATCTCATAGTACTTGAAGCTTGTCTGGCCTGTTTTATGCTTGGGGAAAAAAAAAGCAAACAGTACTTGGTCCTGCTCTACTAAGTTTAGGGAAATTACAGATTTAGAGTTAGAAGCATTGATTTGACATTATATTTGGTGAAATGTAGTTCATTTTGTATTAAAATGTGTTGAGTTTTCTGGCCTTTAGACTAAGTTTCCTGAGACGCTTTGGTAACGGACTAAGCCAGTGCCTGAAACAAAATTATGCAATCCTTAAGTGTGAAGGGAAACACCTTCTGGTTTTAGCAGAAGGAAGATTATTTATATGAGGTTTTATTATTGGCTTTGTCTTTAGCTGCCCACCTCCCTTACCTCCTGGGTGGAACTCTCTTTGTTACAAAGTTAGCCTGGAAAACATAAATACAAGCACTAATACCAATAGGTATTGAAATAACTTAGGCAAGATTTAGAGGAGGGGGGGAAGTTGACCGCTGCCCTCACATGGCTCTTTGCATCATTTTACAAATTCATCAGTATGAAATAGAAGTAAGATAGCAAAAAAGTGGCTGAAATAATGACAGGGGTAGGAGTTTGCAGGAGTGAACTTGCCTGATGGGTTATACAGAGGTGACTTGCAGCAAAAGATTTGATTTTTCCCACAGAGGATAGTATTTGCCTCGCATGGCGAGGTTTGCAGTAGCTGTCTGTAATGCTTCCCTGCTAAACCTCGTCCTGTTCTAGGTTTGCAACTTCTGTCGCAAGAAAGGAGCCACCGTGGGATGCGAGGAAAGAGCCTGTCGCAGAAGTTATCACTACTTCTGTGCACTCTGCGATGATGCAGCAATGGAAACAGATGAAGTAAATGGAGTCTACCGGTATTTAACCCAAGTATTTTCTAACTAATTATTGTCACGATTTTGGTGGTAGTGTCAGGAAGAGAGACTTAAAAATTGTGTGACTTTTAAAGTTTCTTTTAAAAAGGAAGTGTGTTCTCCTCTCTTAGTGATGCTTGATCCTCTGTTCACAAGCAATGGGGGCACTGGTTTCCTTTCACAGGAAAACATGACAGCAGTGGGAATGAATCTATTCATTGTTCAAGCCTGCAACACACCTGAAAGATCCCTAGGCCAAAACTGAGGCAGTCAATCCTTACTAGCTGTCACTAGTGTTCAAGGACCAAGATTTTTGTTAATGTCACTGAAGTTCTCATTTTCTGTGTTCAGCGGCTTCAGTAAATGTGGTCTGAGCACAGAGCAGGCTATAGCACTTCTAGGTCTGTTCACATTAGGCAAATTCTGGTAATTTTCCCTCCATATGCTAGCAGAGAACTTTGCATTCCCTCCGAAGACCACCTTATATTTTAAGTACGTTGCTAGCAGTAACGGGATTGAGCAGACTTTAAGTAAATTTTCTGTCCTGATCATGCACGTCCTGGTGTCCGCTGCCCTTGGGCTGCCTGCGTTGCCATTAGTAGCTGGAAGGATTTATTTGGAAAATGCAGGCAAAGGGGTTGAGAAATTGCGATTTTAGGGGGACCTTGTGAAATGCTGAAGCTGTAGTAAAGTCTGAGGTGCATAAAACCCCCGATGTCCATTTCTATGCAAGGCCAGAGAGATCACAGCCCATGTTCGCCTTAAGTGTAGACCATCTAATCACTACTTGTCTCGGGAAGAGATGGACTACTGCAATCCTTAGTAGCAGTGGAAGATGGATCTTGTGTCAAAACACTTGCACTCCTGGCTGCTTCACTAGGGCGCTCAGTCCAAACTAAATGCATTTTTCTGCACGGCTGTAAGCCAAGGTGATCTGTTTAGTTTATGCTTATAAAGTCTTTGGGAGTCTGCAAAGCTCATAGTGTAGCTGGGAAGATGGGAACTTTCTATGATCACAGCTTAAGTTGCTCTCATCATACAGCTTTAGAAAGGATAACTCAGGCTGAAGAAGACTGAGCTTCTCAAGATGTTGAAAAATGAACAGTGCTGATAACAGTCTAGGTATGAACCGGTAAAGAAGTGGTTGAATATATAGTTTGATTTGGTGGTTTTCTGAGCTGGAGACTGTGGAGGTTTGGAAGAAGGACCCTTAAAAATATGTTGTATTAAGTCACTGTGTGAGATTGGTTGCTTGTCCTGTATAGAAATACAGCAGGAAACTAGGCTGTAGCAACCTGTGTTGAAGAGACGAAAAAGGACTGGATTAGAGAAAGATGGTGAGTCAGGTTTCAGGGATTTGAACCCAAGGACTTTTGAACAGTATCCGTGGCATAAATAAAGCACAAAATTTGTGGCTAGCCTGAAATCATTAGAGAGAAGATGAATAAGATTTGAAAAACAGTGGACATGGATTAGCAGCCGCTGCACTTTTTCATGGTGAAATACAACATACTGAAAAGCATATCAAAAGAAAAAATTCCTGAGAGAGAGCGCACTGGTGTTTTTAAATTCTGAGGTGCCATCATTGTGATGTTGAGCAGTGATTATCAAAACAAACAGAACAAAAAAGAGAAGGCGTACAGTGCTATGGAAGTGGCTAGTAAGAGTAGAGGTGGAGAAATAAGCGTAATTTATAAGTTTGAAAAAATGATAGCAGGGAAATGCTTCCAAATAAAGTGGCCTGAGTAGTAAAAGGTATTGTGTGTTCTTTATAAGATGTTCTTGTACTTAAGAACGTTGTTTTTAACTGGAAACAAATAGAATTAAGGGGAGGGGAGGAAAAAACTAGCCTCCAAAGGGCAATATTAGAAGTTCGGAGATGTAAATAAGGTGCCTCCACTACTTAGCTTTCTGATGGAATTGTTAGGCTTGCATAAATCTGTTTTTTGTGCATCAAAATGAATTTCATGCAACAAAGCTGGCTCGTCAAGGAAACAGTCTGCGTTTGGAAGGTCAGTGCTTCTATTTTGTTAAAGTAAAAGAATGGCAGTAATTAGAAAACGTCCTAGCAAATGCAGTTCCCTTTAAGAATTGCTTGCCAGCGCTTGAGCGTTAGTCTTGGCGCATAGATTTGTAACGAAGAGATCAGCTAAACCATACACTTGACAAGGCAATTTTGCTTAAAAAGTGATTTGGGATCCTTCTGTAAGAAAGGCATGTTATAGAAGCTGGTTCACATTCTCTACACATTCTTGTATCCAGAAGATAAGGAATATTTCCGGCTGTATTTGTTGCATTTTGCCTTTTCCAAGGAATTCACAGTGCTCTCCTAGAACCGGAGAAAATATTCCCATCTCACATATTACTAGTCTTTAAGGAATGAATGGATAGAGCAGCTTTAAGCTGCTGGATCTCAAACGAGGTGCCCTGCTTCCTCAGGGTTTGGGGACTACCTCATCAGCACTGGGCAGCAGAAAGGGAAGGGCACAGCGATCTCCAAGCAAGTAACTGGTACTGTGCGTGGCGGTGCAGTGCCCCGTGGCTGTGCCAGCACTTCATGCAGGGCTCATAAGTTCAAGCTGACTGTTAAGCAGATGCATCTAAAGGGGTTCTGGACCTGGCCTGAGCGGTGCAGGGCCAGCGGGCAGAACTGCAAGTAGCTACAATCAAGCGACATTAGTGCTGTGGTATTTCATCTTGACAGCGTTAATCTCATTTTGATAAGAGTACCTCTGCCACAGGGATCGCCACACCAGGTGAAATGTGTCTGACTCGGGATTTGAACAACAAACAAGTCCAGACAGAGTGGGGTGATGGAACTGGTAATTCAAAGCATCAGTGTTCAGAGTCCGCTGAGGCTCTGGGAGTACAAAGACAAGCTTGTGCATGTATGTGACTTTACAGCAGGTGCTTTTCTAGGTGGGTAATGCTGAACGAAAATCCTGATAATTTTTTAAGCATCTTTCAGTTTACATTCAATGAAAGAGGGGAAAATATCTGTTAAAATCAGTCAGCATAATTATGTTTACATCTTTATTAATACTTTTTCTCTTTTTCTTAAAATCGAACTTAAATTTTAGAGTGTTCTGCCCAAAACATGACCCAGGCAATAGGACCAATCTCTATGGTGAGTTTCTTTAATGGCTTCATTGGTTTCATTTGTTTTAAAAGTTTGCATCCTACAGTCGATAACTCGTTTGAAGAAAATAAATGTTGCTCCACCTTTATATTGAGCGGTGGATTTCTAATGTTGCAGGAGTCCTTTGGTTGGGAACCATGCGTATGCATAAAAATCGAGAAGGTTTTTTTTTGAAGTAGGAAATGTTTATATTTGATCTTTCCTTGAATCTCCCTCCAAACTGACTTAAAACACTGTGGACCTGATCCTTCATGGAATTATTCTAACTCTGTGCAGGGAGGTAGGCCCAAGCAGCTTGTAAAATCCATGTGAGAGATGAGAGCCACACCAACGAGTGATGCACAAGCTTGCACTTGGTTGGCAAAGAGAGGGTTGTTACCAGAGTGGTCACCTTGGGATTTTTGTCAGTAGTTATGTTAAAATGTTCGCTTTTGCATCTTCTGTATTCACTGCAGTAGTTTCTCAAATAGGGCCTTTCATTCTGAAGGATCCCAAAGAGCTTTTTAAGTGTGACAAAAAGGTTATACAACCCCTGTTTAAGGATTGCTTCCTTTGCTACAAAAATGCAGCTTAATGTGGCAGCCCTGGTCCTAGCTGATTCAGAGGTAGTTGGGAACCTCACTGAAGTAAACAACCAAAGCTGTGAGTTTGTTAACCCTAATGCATACAGTCCTGCTCAAAATGGAGTGGGTCCTGGACTGGCCTTCACGTTGAAGTTAAGCTCAATCAAGGTGTGAGCACTAATGCTAAGCGTGGTGTGCTCCCACTGAAGTCTAGCAAACTTTGGCTAATCTTCTCGACAGAGTCTGGCTCCACCCGAGTGCCACTCAAGGGGTGGGTTAGGTGATTATCGTTTAAACTTCTAGTCGTAGGGTCTGGGGCTTCTTAGCCAGACATACAGTCCGTTTAACACTCGATGTTGCTGTGGTTCACTCACAAAATGCAGCTTCTTATTTCACTTAGTAGTTTTGCTCTTTACTTAGCCGTAGTTCTGAGGCCTGGCATTCCTTCCCTTTTTAAAATTAATTTGATTTCTGTGGTCTAATGGTTGTCAGTCTGTTAGGTCTGCCCAGAGTCCTAGGTGGTCTCCTGCCCAAGTACTAGACAGGGCCAGGATTGCTTTGTTTCCAGTGTGAGATGAGCTTAAGGCATTAGGTCCAGCCCTGTAGACCACCTCCTTCATAAGGAACACTTAAATCGTACGAGGGTAAAGGTCTTCGTGTCTTCAAGTGCTGCACATACAATGTATGGCCTGTTCCCTGAGAAGAGAGTTTTTTCCTAGAGGAGATCTTCCAGAGGCACTTAATTTGGAGACCTTCTGTTTACAAGGGGTAAATGGATTCTGCTGGCAGTGTCTCCCCTGCCTCCTGAATGAGCTTCTCCCGCCTCTGAGAGAGGAGCTGTGTGCCAGGAGGTGGGGAGCAGCTGTGAGAGTTGGGTAAATGACACTTGGTTCCCCAAGCCCAATGTCTCCTGCCTCTGAGCAGCTCTCAGGTGCATGCGTGGCTCTCGGAATAGCCAGGGATACCTGCAGGTGAGCTGGCTGAAGCAGCAGGTACTCTGTCTGGCCCACTCCTGGCCCATCTGGGCGGGCAGGGGACACCAGTGCTGAGTGTGCTTGCAGGTCCACACGGGGTGGGCGAGTGAGACAGGCTGGGATGGAAGCACTGTGGCTCCATGGTAGAGTTTTGACTTTCAGGATCCAAAGAGGAGGTAGGTCAGCCATTCCTCTGGGGCAGGCTGAGCCAGTGCTGCGCTGTGTGGGAGCAGCAGGAGCTGGTATGGAAGGGCTGCCTCTCCAGGCTTGTTTTCCCTGGTAGCTTGGAGAAAATGGGGTCAAGGACCATCCCCTTGTTCTTGGTTCAGTCGACATTCCTATGCTGAATGTGTAAGGGCTCTGCTGTGTGTGATCAGAAGGGGATCGGGTGCCTTAGGGGCCAAGAGGTCTCCTTGCAGCTCTCTGCTGCAGGGATGAGAGGTCAATTTGGGCTTGGAAACAGGCTGCAATCTCTGCTTAACTGGAAACATTGGATGTGCCCAGAGTAAAGGCTGTCAAACATCGAAGAGTGGAGAACACTGTGGGGAGTAGGAAGAGTTGGGCTGCTCTTTTGGACTGTGTTCCTCTTGTTTTATAAGGCATCCCTAAAGCAGACATCAGGAAGAGCTGAGGAAATCGTACCACAGGTCAAAGATGTCGTGCTAGACAGCAAGGAACACTTTGTGCCTACACCACCGTCTCCTGGACTGCTCCAAATTAGGCCACCCAGCTTTATTTCGGATGAGGCGAGAGGCTATGATTTCCTTTCAGGCCATGAAAAATCCAAATGTACAGCACCAGTACCCAAAACCCAAACTTGTTTCAACAGCCTTCCTGTCCCAACAGTAACTCCTCATTCCTCTTAATAGGGTGATTTCTGACAGGAAAAACCCAAAGGATGTAGAGTTAAATGGGAAGGGGGTTGTTGTGGTTTAACCCCAGCCGGCAACTAAGCACCACGCAGCTTCTCACTCGCTCTCCCCAGCCAGTGGGATGAGGGAGAGAATTGAAAAAACAAAAGAAAGGTAAAGACAGTTTAATAGCACAGAAAAGGAAGAAAATAAGAATAACCATAATAATAATTTTTAAATTTACAATAATAGTAATGATAGAATATACAAGTGATGCACAATGCAATTGCTCACCACTCACTGACTGATGCCCAGTCAGTTCCTGAGCAGTGGTGTCCTCCAGCCAGCTCTCCCCAGTTCATATACTGGGCATGATGTCACATGGTATGGAATATCCCTTTGGCCAGTCTGGGTCGGCTGTCCTGGCTGTCCCTTCCCAGCTCCTTGTGCACCCCCAGCCTCTGCTGGCAGGGCAGTATGAGAAGCGGAAAAGTCCTTGACTTAGTATAAACACGGCTCAGCAGCAACTAAAACATCAGTGTGTTATCAGCATTGTTCTAGTCCTAAATCCAAAACACAGCACTCTCCCAGCTACCAGGAAGAAAATGAACTTTATTCCAGCTGAAACCAGGACTGGGGCATAAAACCCCACTGCATTTAAAACCCTCTGGTTTTGGTGGGTGGTTGAAGTCCTCTAGCTTGCCCTGTTCCTGCCGTGTCATCCTTGCCAGAGTTACCCTGCTCTGCTTGTGGTGCTGTGGCTGTTTTGGGCAGCTGCCAGTTACAGTGTTGGAGAGGCTGGTCCGTGCTGATAGAAAGGACAGGGTGAAAGCAGATGATTTTGCAGAGATCTTGTACTGTGTTACTAAAACCACTTTGTAGCATAAATAATACTCAACTTACAAGTCAAATTGCTTCTGGAGGTTTTCTAGCAGGGTCATTATATCCATGAAAACCCTAATGCCATTTGTATGTCTTTGGGACACCTAAAATAATTCCTTATATAGTCTTAGTTTTGAGAGTGTATCAACCTAAAAAAGAATTGACTGAAAAATCCAGTCATCTTTCATAAATTTGCCTGAAATGTTTTCAAGCTAGAGGTAGTGCTGCTGCCGGGGAGAATAAGTTCATTCTGCCACAATTAAAAATCTCATGTTAAAAACTGGGGTTTGCTTTATACTGAGTTTAAAAGGCAAAGTGATATTCTAATGCTACAGTGATTTGCACTTTTTCCTAATGGTTCAGACTTGTAATTTTTCACTTGAATTCACATTATTTCCGTGTAAGAAATGTCAGGTATTTAGGGAAGTTGAAACATACTCCTGCCTTGCCGTGCGAAGTGCCTCACTTCTGTAGCTTTTTGGGAAAAGAGAGAATTTGAATGATGTGAAATTGTCAGTCTGAGGTTTACACATTTGTTACTTCATTGTTTCTTCATTCCTAGATGCGCCTAATAAGAGGAGAAGACATGCCTTGAAATCTTCCACCATCACGAAACAAATGGTAATCCTGAATTTAAGTAGTTCTAAAACAGGAACCTATGTCTGCTGCAGCGAAGGACTTCTTTAGTGAAAGATTTTGACAGTGTATCCAGAAGGAGTCTTCCTCGCAGCAGCAGTAACTTTTCCTTTACAGCTGGCTTGTTTTGGTCTTGTCGTTCTGTTTGCATTCGGAGCTGCTTCAGGCAGAGCCAATGCTGCCCTCGGGTCACGTGGCAGAAGTGCGATAGGAGCCTCCGAACCAGGCCGAGTCGGTGGCTGTGAGCTTGATGTGACCAGGAAGAACTTCCGTTTGGGGGATCCTTTGAAAGTCCTACGGCCCTCACATTTGCTTAGGGCTTGACACAGTTTCCATGAAAAACTGCTGTTGATGAGTCACTTGGCCTTTTAAACCGACTTACTCGTTTGTGAGCCTGGGCTTATGGTAAACATGGAACGTTTTCACTGCAGACCAGGCTGTTCTCAGCACCTGGTGAAGATGTCTGCCCAAAGGTTCAGGAGCTGTCAAGCAGAGCATCCCTCTGGTTGCAGGGGCAGTTGTTTTAGAGGCCACTGTTAGAAAACCTGTGAATACAGCTTATTTTAAGTTTTGAGGCGCTTTTCTTGGCTCCACGGAAGTATGCATGGGGACCCCCATTGACTTTTGGGGGCATTAGGATTTCTCCTTTCTAGATGAATTAGCATCCATCTTTCCTTGGGAGAAACATCTGCCTTTCCCAGGTCTTGAGTTTAAAGGGAGGTCATGTGAGGGGACATGACCATCTTTGCAGCTTTTGTGTAGTGCTCTCATAAGGGTAGGTTATTTGTCTTCAAGGATTTCGTAGCTGTAAATCCACGTCCCTTCCTGATATTGTAACTGAGATTCATTTGACCTGTTACCCACAGCAATGTGCTGTTTCTGCTGCTCTCCGGTGCTAGCAATCTCAGATATAGGTACCAATACTGCAAATAAGAAGCTGAGGGACTCCAGGATTTATCACTGCAGGATAAATTGTTGGCCCTTGTGTAAGCAGTGCATTTTTACACTGGGGGAGTTTTGCGACAGAGCTTAGGAATTATTTGCAGTACTGTGGTGTGACGTGGAACAGCAGAGAATGACTGTCCTGGCCAAAGGAAAAGAAAAATATTCCCCCTCTCCTCTCAAATCCTGTCTAGAATTGCATCAGGTCTAGGGAGGTAAACATCATTTTCACGGGGAGGTGGCAGTAGGCGTTCGTTAACATTGGTGCTATTTGCAAATGCAATAAATAAGGAGGGCGGTGTCCCAAGTGTCGGGCTTTTCTTAAGGAGTTGTTGCTTTGAAGCAATTTTTGCTTCCTTTTTTAAAAGCAGAATGTCTGGAGTGGGGTGGCGTTAGCTGTGCAGAGAAGCTGACTGTATTCACAGAAAGATGGGCTGCTTTTTACCTTTCTGCTAATATAAAGGTAAGAAAAGCAGTAAACATCGGTATGATGTAAAAATTTGTTGTTTTGCTTTTCTTACAGAGCACAGAAGAGACAGAAGAAGAAAACAGTTTACGTATACTAAAAAGAAAAAACAGGCATAAAGGTGCAGCTCTCTTTATAGAACAGCTGGGAAGATACTGTGATCGGTTGTGTTGCAGTTCAGAGCTTGGGGGGGTGGTTGATCGCAGCGATGCTGCAAAGTCACCTTTATGGTCCTCCCAAGACAAGTGCCTCTCCGAGCCCTGGCAAGGGAGTGGAGGTCTGATTTGCAGGGTGACTGTGCGGGTTTTGATGGCTGTGCAGCAAACAGATCCCTCGCTTTGGCCAAGACTTGGTGTGTGATGTGAGCTGGTGAAGTTACCTGGGAATGCCCTGGCTCTGGCTGGCTGCTGTGTTCAGCTGTGCGGCTCCAGCAAACAGGGCTGCCTCAGCCTGACCTCCCACCCCCGTATCAATCCAGTCAAATTTAAATTTAGGGTCTGGAGAACAGACCTCTTGTAAGGAGCAGCTGAGGGAACTGGGGTTGTTTAGTCTGGAGAAGAAAAGGCTGAGGGGTGACCTCATCAATGTTTATAAATAAATAAAAGGCAAGTGTAGGGAGGATGGAGCTGGGCTCTTCTCGGTGATGGCCAACGACAGGACCAAGGGGCAACGGGAGCAAGCTGGAGCACAGGAGGTTCCATGTTAACATAAGGAAAAACTTTTTCACTGTGAGGGTGACAGAGCACTGGAACAGGCTGCCCAGAGAGGTGGTGGAGTCTCCTTTTCTGGAGACATTCAAAACCTGCCTGCATGCATTCCTGTGTGATCTACTCTAGGTGGGACTGCTCTGGCAGGGAGGTTGGACTAGATGATCTTTCGAGGTCCCTTCCAACCCCTAACATTCTGTGATTCTGTGAAAGAGTGGTCAAACATCGGAACAGGCTGCCCAGGGAAGTAGTGGAGTCACCATCCCTGGGGGCATTCAAAACGCGTGTAGATGTGGCACTTCGGGACACGGTTTAGCGGGTGTGGTAGTGTTGGGTTGACGGTTGGACTTCATGATCTCAGAGGTCTCTTCCAACCTTAATAATTCTGTGGTTCTATAAAAGGGAATCAATCAGGTCCTTCTTCACGTCGGTCTCCTGAGCCCCTCTGGAAGGGGAGGGTGCAGCTCTGCCGGCGGCACTCTGGGGCAGGTCAGCAGAGGCTGTGCTGTGAGGAGGGGCTGAGCAGTGACCCAGCGGTGCGAGGGGAGTTCAGCACACCTCGGACAGGAGCTCCAGCTGGCTGGGTAGGCATGGGGCTCGCTCAGCACTGCGACAGGCTCTGCTGCCACCGCCTGCTCCTCTGGCCTTTGGAGCCCTAGGTGTACAGAGGGTGCTTAATGCAGTGTAGTATTTTACTGTCTAAATACAGTATTACAACAGTGAAATCAGCCACTGGACCCATCCTTCAGTTCTGCAGTTTTCATGTTACCCCAAATGTCCTGCTGCAGTTGCCTGTCGGGATTATGCTGTCGTTTGGAAGGTGTTAGTGGTGATTATTCACCTTCCCATGGCTGTGCTTAGTATATGGGCACGGTATTGTAACAGTAGGTGGCTGCCTAATGTTGTTTCTGAATTTTTACTACCGCTATAAAGAACTGGGAACCTATAAAGAATCCTGGAATACTTGCAGGGCATCTAGTGAAAGCAAAATGACATTTCTTTTCTCACAAACGTCCCCAGTAAAAAGTAATGTTTTTAGTGGAGACTGGCAGACTTCTGTGAGCTGTCTGATAGCTCTTTCCTTTTGAACAGCCCGTTGAATTGATCTTACTAAGACCTGTCACTGACCTGCTGCTCTGAGATGAAGAAAAAATACGTAGTTATTTCCCTAGCAGTCCAAATCTGACAAACTAGGCATATAAAATGGGCTGTAATAAAGGGGTGTAATGTCTGGATCCCTTGGAGTAAAAGTAGCCTTAATTCTCTTACCAAATCCAGGACTGATTCCCTTCTTGCACTATTTTCTATCCTTCAGCCTGTTCAGTCCATGTGTGGTCTTGAGGACTGGAAGGAAAAAAAAAAAAAAAGACAAGACAAATGACTTACTTTCCTATACTGGGGGTGTCAGCAGGCATTAGAAATGATGCATTTAGAGTTGTGGAGATCACAGAATCACAGAATATGAGGGGTGGGAAGGGACCTCGAAAGATCATCCAGTCCAACCCCCTGCCAGAGCAGGACCACCTAGAATAGGTCACACAGGAACGCGTCCAGGCGGGTTTTGAATGTCTCCAGAGAAGGAGACTCCACCACCTCTCTGGGCAGCCTGTTCCTGTGCTCTGTCGCCCTCACAGTGAAAAAGTTTTTCCTTATAGAATAGATTTTTTTCCTTACTGCTTGTGACAAATGAAGCCAAATCTAGAGCTTAGGTGATTGTACACCCAGTGCAGTGCTTAGGTGTGCCTGACCACGTTTGTGTTCCCACTGGAAAGGCCTGAGTGGGTAGCTGGAGGAGCCAGGGATTTGCACAGGCATTTGTTACTGGAAGGGGGACTTCAGCCACAGTTTTAGTCTCTGAAGCGAGCGAGTGAAGCCCGTGTTACAGGTCACCTCTGTACAGGAGTGTGTGGTTTTGTGTTTTACCAGTCCGAATAGACTTTCTCAGGAAATGCAAGCAAGCCGGGCTTCTGGATGACATATTTGAAGAAATGCTGGACACGCTTCACCTGGCGCAGGAAAAACTGATGGATGACAACACTTCAGAAACAGGTACGGGGAGCCATGAGTGGAGCAGAAAGGCTGATCGGAATGCCGGGCACTCGGCCCTGGGTCACCTTCCTGAGGCTGCTTCTGTAGTGTCGAACGACTGCGTCCTGTCTTATTTCTGCAGCTGCACAGCAGGCGGGGAGAGAGTATTTTTTGGGATACCCTTGTCAGCAGAGGGGAAGAGCTGCCAACTCGGCGTGCTCTAGTGAGGCCTTCTGACTTGAGTGTTTGAAGCCACCTTTCGCCCGTTGGCATAAGGAGAGGTGGGTTCAGCCAGGCCTCTTCTCGCAGTCACTGAAGAAGAGAGAGGTCCTGAAGAAAACCGGGTGGTTTTATTGGGATCATAAGTCTATGTTGTTCTTGCAGCTTCACAGAGGGACCAGCTATGTGTCAAAATTGGTACTCTTTTGAAGGGAAAAATCCCCGATTATGTACATTTTAAGCCTTTGGATGATTAGTTAGAACTTCATTGTCAGCTGTATTTGGGGATTTCATCCATTTAAGTATCAGCGTGTATGAAGCACTTTGTTCTTGGAGGATTCCACTCTAATGTTGCTTTGTCCACCACACAGTTAAAAAAAGAAAATTTCAAACCTTCCTCTCCTGTTGTCCTCCCAGCTTTACAAAGTGACGAACCATACCTTTGGATAAAGAATGCTGATTTATGCAAAGTAACTGAGCACATGCATGGAAAGTGCAATGTCCCACCTGGCTGAACCTTCCTCATGAGCAGCTTGTGCATAAGGTGGCAGCAGCTGCTAGAAGCCCACAAATAACTAAAAATCTGATGAAATCTCAAAAGTGCCCCCCACTAAGCAAACCTCTTGACGGTCATGCGGACTCTGTCGGCGTTTTGTCTTTTGTTTCAATGGGAGCCTCAGGTATGAAACCGAGGCTGGTTTTTAACACCCAGCAGTGATAGCCGCGTCCCACGTTGTCGCATGATCCGCCAAGAGGGATGGGTACGTGCTGTTACACGTGCAGTCCTGACGCGATGGAATGAAATCTGACTTAAGTGTATTGCTCGTTTTTTAAATGGACTGTTCATGTGGTGCAGACCCAGGAGGGGAATTACAGGTATGTCCCTTTTCCTGTTTTCTGTATGAAACTAAAAAAAAAAAAAAAAGGCAGAATTGACAAATTGATCCTTTCTCGGTGTAGATTACACGAAAAGGAAGATGTCCTAAAACCTCAAGCAGTCGGTATAATATAAGTAATCAGTGTTTTGTGGTGCTTCTGCTGTCGGGCTCCGCATTAACGTGAGGGTTCTGTAAACCTTTACTCAGTAGCACTGAATCAAATGATCTCTTTCCCCAGAGTATGAAGAGACAGTGATGTCACTCTTTGACTGTGGGCTGTTTGAAAATATACTGACAAATATTCATTCAGGTATGTAAAAAAGCAGTCAGAGCAGTAGCAGTTGGCCTGGGTTTTGGCATGGAGGGTATTCTTCTGAGAGCTTTTATAAAATGAAAATTCCAAGGAACTTTTTTCTCAACATTGTATAAATAATTGAATCCAAGCCACCGGTGCCTGAATCTTTAAAAATACAGTGTTATGTCTAATCTGGCCGGCTGACCTGAAGGGGGAGGCAAGTCAGAGTTCCACAGCTTGAAAAGACCCAAGGGTCTCCACCCCCGAGGAACTTCCCTCTCCTGCAGGGTGGACTCGTGTCCTGTTTCTGCGGGTTACTTCCCTTCCTTCTCCACAGCCTCCCTTCAGCGGCTCGCCTGCGTTACAGCCCCTGGCTGACGAACCTCTTCACGCTGGCTGTTGTGTTTCAGTTAAGAGCATTAAACGCCACGAGCAGAACTTACCTGGACCTGCTGGCAGTTGTAACGTGCTTTGATAAACAAGCTGAGAATGCTGAGAGTGAAATGAAAACAAGGGCAGGAGCGGTTGCTTGGGACCTCCGCTGTGGAAGGAAGCTCTGGGGCTTGGACTCCGCTCTCAGCTGTTGTAAGGAACAAGGTTAAAACTGTTTTTTGGATAGGCAAGTCACTCGCCCCCATCTCTCCCTCTAACAGTTAGCAGCCTCGCTCTAACTTCTGCTTTAATTTATCCTTGTGAAAAGGGAAATGGGTTTTAATTGGCTAACGCTGAGGTTCAGTGCATGAAGGTGATGTTTGCTAATGTTGGCTGTTTCCCCTTTGCTCGACTGAAAAGGCCAGGGTTCTCTTCAATCTCCTGTTCTCGCATTTAAATTCCTCTCTCGGAAATGGGAGTGACTGGTGTTGCAGTTATCTGGCATGGGGTTCCACCACTGCCTCCTGAGGGCGTTAAAACATCTCTGCTCAAAGCTTCTCATGTGACACAACCTTGGATCACACTTGTTTCTTTCACAGCTGCATCAAGTATTTCATCCTCTCCTCAGCTTGCAGGAGAAATTCGTGCTATTGGCACCTACGTACGCACAACCGTGTGATTCTTGTGTGTAAAAGTTGGCCCCTCTCCAGCTCCCCACTACTTGAGCAGCTCAGTTCTTCCTGTACCACAGTCGTCTTTTCTGATGCCATCATCCTACTGTTCATTTCAAGGTCAATAATGAAAACACACATCAAGGAGGGTTCCAAAACTGATCCAGGAGGAGCTCTTAAAGTGAACCAGTGAGAAAGGAATGAAAACCATGTTAGTTACAAGTGAAACTGTAGGGAGGGAAGGAAATCGCCAGCTTTTTTCTTTTTTTAGTCCTAATCTGGCTTCCAAGCTCTAGCTAGCGGATCTCTATGATGACGTGCAAAGTCTAGGACTAAATAAAGTAGGACTAGTAGAAATAGTACTGTGACGTCTTTGATCTTTCTCCTGGAACTGATGATTTTGGGTCATCTGATGTGCTTTACCTTCAATCCATTTTTTCATTTTATCTTTTTCTCACTTCTTGGATGATCATGCAAAACCTTATGTGTCAGCACAGCGAGGTTACCCTGAGCTGTGACTGTTGCTGCTGCTTTTTGAAATCCCTTTTCTACATAGGGATAAACGGTTCTTCTGCAGCGTGCAGCTTTACTGCAGACTTGACTGCATTTAGAACTCTTCCTGTGGGACCTGCTATCGCCTCAACAGCAGTTCCACATTCCTAGGTCGGAGGTTCTCCTCTCCTCCAAGGAGAAATGACTGCCTTTAGTTTTGCTTTCTGTTCTGTTGCCCCGTATCCTGCTCGGGGCGATACCTCAGTCAGCTTTCAGTCTCCCCTCTCTGCTGGGCAGCAGCCTGTCCAGCAGCTCCGGAGCTCCTCGGTGGCATTGGCTTCCAGGGGAGCTGTAGCAGCGAGTGCTGCCGTGCAGGCAAAGGCGGCGAGACTCCGCTTTGAAACTCTTGCGCAGAACCTTCACCGGGAGCCCCTTGGCACTTGTCCCGCGGATGCGCGAGTGCGGTCATTCCACGTTCCTCGGGCCGTCCCCGATTTCACAGAACTACATATTCTTTTCCTTTAGGTCATCTCCTGTGTGGGGTGGAAGGTTCCCAGTCTGTTACCTGCCTTCCGATGGAAGTGCTCCTGTAGGCCAGTGGTTCCCATCACCAACGCCTTTCTCTGGGCCATTTCTGTTTCTGGGAGGAGAGTAATGGAGCTGTGTGTCTCCCAGCTGTAGGAGTGCGGAACGCAGTAACACAATCGCCGTGTTTCCTCTGTGTTTTGTTTATTTCTGACAATTTATTAATTTGTATCCGGATATTCTCCAAGAGCTTTTTTTTTTCCTCTGGCTCCCACTCATACATGTCCAGCTTTTCCTTCAGATACGTGCCTGCCAGTTCTTTCAGCCACCACCCCTGAAGGCTGCCTGCGGCGCAGTTTTACTGCTGTACAATTAAATGTGTTTAACATTAGGAAAATGGAAGTGGCAGAAACGCTGTCAGGCAGGGCTTTGCAAATGAGGTAAAGGATGTGGCCAATGCCATCAGCACACTGGCAAGAACTGTTTTGCCAGAAGCAGGAACATTAAATGCTCTTGAGTCGTGTTTTTGAGAATCTGGATGTTGAATGCAGTTGTCCAAACCATCTTTTTTTTTAGGTTTAACTTTGTTGTTGTTGGCTAAAATCTGTTAGGCTTGTAAATTTGCTTTAGGTGTGTAATTCAGTGATGTTGTATTTAAAGATTTAAAACATATCTTTACTGGAGGAGTCCCCATACAAATGGATTCTGAAAATGGAACTGTTAAAGCTCCTAGGCTGAGTAACATCGGGTTAGTGACTAAATAATGATTTTTACATTTGCTGTGATGGTCTACATTAGATCTATAGTGTAGCTGGTTTTGAGATTAAGGTATATGGATGACGAAGTATGTGACTCTGCTGCTTTGTGTGTTCCTTTGAGACTGCAGCTGGTCTCCTTCACACAACGCACAGGCTGTTTCTTCATGAAGAGACCAAGCGCACCGGTGTGAAGCGAAAGGCTGTGCTTCAGCAAGGCAGGGCTTTCACTGTAGGGTAACCTAAGCGCTAGAAGCCTCTGCAGCGTCCATGTGTAGGTACCAGGTATTGTAAATTAATGATAGTTGCACGTGAGTAAAAGCTTTTATCCCTTTCTTTTTGCTGATAGGAACAGAGGAAAAAATCCAGGAACTTCTGGAAAGCAGAAAAAGACTGGATAACAAGATCGAGCTACTGCAGGACTTAAAAGAGGTCGTCCTTCCTACCCCGGAGAACACCGCTAGTACGTCTAGTACAGTGTCTGAATAACCCCCCAGTCTGTCTGTGATGGTGTCAATATTTAGGATTTTCTAATGATAGAAACCATAGAGCACGTCTGGTCAGTGTCTTAAGTAATCCCCCCCCGCCTCCTCCCCCAAGATAGGGACACAAGCAGGAACTGGGTGTTTTACTCATTTTTATACCTCACGGTTGCAATAATTTTAAGTTGTCCCTTTCCTTAAATTTAAACCATGGATCAATGAGTGTTATACACCAAATTTAGCTTTTTTTAAAGCTCTACAAAACCCTCCACTACAGACTTTTTTCTGAAAAACAAGGGAGGATCGGCTGCCCCAGGCACTTTAACTGTGGGAGCCCTCCGACTGTGTGCGGTAGCTGCTTCACTGTCTGCATGTAGACAGTGATGTTTTAATGACCACATGGCTGCTTTGGCTTTCCAAAGAAGATAAATGAGCAGAACTTGCACTCAAAGAAGCCTTCTGAATTATATACAGGAGTTTGGTTTTTTAATTAAATGATTCTTGAATGACTGCCTAATGTATAACTAGTTCTGCTGTAACGGCAGTGGTGAAACCGTGGTTGCAGGCAGACCAGAAATGGCTGAGCATCATACTCTATAAACAACACATACAGTGTAAAATGGATCACACAGGGGGTTGTATTTTCCTTTCTCCAGTCTGAGAGGATACAACTTCAGTGTGTTTTGTCTTTAAAAGAATTGTTTGAATACAGAAAAGCATTGTTTAGCTACAAAAGGGTAAGTTAACAAAATAAAACATTTCTAAGCAAGCCCTGGATGTAGTCGTGCTCAGTAGCACCCCTGTGGGGGCTGTCCCATTGCTGTGTAAAAATTCATAACCCGAGCTTGTTCTCTGAAGGTGGAGAGCAGGAGCCACAGCACAACAAGTTTCAAAACATAAGTGCATGGGGCAGAACCATTAGCTGTGCCCCAGGGAACACAATACTGGTGTTTTCACTTGCTGACGCTGCTCGGGCCTGCTGGCTGTCCGGCACTGGGAACACAACTGGTTTGCTGCCTGAGCCAGGGCCTTGAGCGCTGCTTGTGGCTACTCTGCCCAGAAAACTCCCATCTGAAACAAAAGTGTATTAGCACAGAGCATGGATTTATCTGGTGTTGGGGAACAAAGGCAGATGCAAATCCACTGTCATGGGAAAGCCATAAAAGTTCATGTGAGCTCTTTTTCCCTATGGCAGTGATCTGACTCACTGACAAGCCTCAGAGCAGCTTAGAGGGCAAGTCCTGTGTGCTCTGTTCTCAACCTTTGGCCTACTCTGCCATCCTGAACAGGTTATTTATTAGAAACATTGACAGCACCTTTGGAAGTGTTTTGTCAGACTAGTGTAGACCCAACTCCCACCATCGCGCTAGAGGAGCTCCCTGGCCTCTCCCACCCATACACCGTTCTAGGCTTCACCAGGCTTAGCAAAGTCAGAACCCCCCTGTAGCCCTGGAGTCAACCTAAGCTCCAGCTCTCAAGTTCCAGGTTCACTGCTCTGCCCTGGGGTGGTGCCTATGTGACACCTTCAAAGCCCCCACCCCACCCTGGCTGTCCAGCCCCAGCTGCCCTGAGGTTACAGGCGCAGATGGACTTACTGGTGAAAAAAAGCAGATCCATGGACTGTAATCAGAGGGGGCTAAAGTAGCACCTACAACTCAAAGTGCTGTTTTCTGAGGATGAGGGCACAGGCCTTTGTCACAAACAGTAAAATCACTAAGATTCTGTACTACAGAGGCTGGGGCAGGGTTGAGGGGGGGTTTGGGGGAGGTTTTTTGCCTTTTTTTTTTTTCTAAAAGCAACTTACAGGCTATATGTAACACAAAAAGCTTGCAATTTTCTTCAAAGGCCAAAGAAGTCTGCCAGTGAACAGGTACAAAAAAGGTAATTTTATTACATGGAGTTTAAGTTTATACAACACAAATGCAAACCCCTACTTTCAGACCAGTGTATCCCTTCCCCTCCACGAGAACCAATGTAATCTGAAGTCACCAAGGAGGGAATTTTTTCCATTAACCATTATAAATATTGCTCAGACAGATTACACAAAGTACACATTACAACTTCTATTAAGGTATACCCAAATACAGAGATTTACTTCCAATTAGAGTTGCTAGTTACCCCTTTCTTCAAAGCTACTTGTGCAGGCTTTGAGGAGATACTATTTTTGCACACTTTTCTAAGCACTGAATGGACTTGGTTAATTACGCACAGCAAATGGCAAATTCATTCACAATCATGCAAATGCAGTAAGAGATATCCACGCCATTTGCTTCTCCATAATCCTGGGGAGTTAATGATTTAAGTGATGTCAGTCCGTAGCTCAGGTCAGACCATTCTCCAACCCTAGAAAGTCAACTGAAAATATTAACAACGGGTGGTGCTAGAACAAGATTTCCTAGGCTAAAAAGGCAAGTCCTTAACACCGGCCAACATCCTTCGCACGCTACAGCTGAAGTCTTGAGCTGGTTCCACCATCCAGGTTTGCTAAATGCAAGTGAATCTTTTTCTTGACGGTTTTACAACGATTCACTTCGGAGCACGGAAAGTGTTTTCACTGTGGCCTTTCACATCTTCTGATACAAGTGACACTTGCTTTTACCCGCGCAGTTACAACATTCTGTTGTAACTGCAAAAAACCCTATACACACCCGTAACTTCCAGCCTCCTTTCAGTTCTTAAAGGCTCCGCATTTACTGGCTTTAGCAATGAATTCCTTTAGCAGGGGACCATCCATTTGCCAAAATGCTGTAGTTTGTGTCACTTCCGTCAAATGATTGACACAAAACTTAAAGCAGAATTCCTCTAAGTCCTAAACAGAAAAAAAAAAAAAAAAAAGGAAAATATCTTATTAACTTTGCTTTCATCACAGAAAATTACATTCAGGCACCAATGCCTGTATATGCTTTATTTTTGCAGAAAATTAGACAAGTACATTAACCCAGTGGCTCTCAATGTTTTTCCCCCACACAGTCACTATGTAAATGCAACAGAAAATAATAATTCTACCCACATAACATGGTTACAAGGGGGAAAGTACCCAGAATTTGGTTCTCACTATACAGTCACAAAAATCAGCTGTTCTGAGCAACACATATTTCAAGTTTTCCCACTTGAAGAGTTTCACTTGCGTTCACTGGCAGCTATTAAAACCCAATACAAACAGGAGATCTTGGGGTAACGGTATATAACCAAAACTGTGGATTAAGAACATTCAGCTCCCCTGTTCCACGATACAAGCTCAAATCGATATACATGTAAATAACATATTGCTTGTCTTCCTGCTTCGTTAAGGGCTGAACTACAGCCCTGAAGTTGCATGTCACCAGGCTCGCTGCAAACATATACTAACTGGGTGGTTTTAAAGCCAAGTTTCAGCAGAAGGCCTTTCTACACATTGGAAACAGACTCGTGTTGCAATGTATTTCACAGATGTCCCAAAAATGGTTCAAAAGAAGTACTGTGGCACAATACAGCACAGCAATTCTCGCTGCAAGTGGGCTCCAGATATCTGAGTCTACTTAGAAGTGCCTTCCACTTAACGATTAGAAAAGCCTCACAGCCATCATTGCACCCGCATGGTGCCAGAGAGAAAGGATGTCTAAAAAAAAAAACCCACAAGACACAGTTGTTGTCAATGTGAGGTTGACCACAGAAAGCTTCCCATTCGGATTATTTGTTTCCAACTCCTCTTTTGAGGAGGAAATCTACTTTTGTGGTGCTCTAAGGAAGATGCTGCAGTCCTTACAAAACGGCAGCTCCCCACCCTGTTCTAATTTCTTTACTCCGCTGTGAGTTTGTAGAACTAGTACTTTGTATGTGAGAACACCCTTCCTTGGCTGCAGGCTGGGCGCTGCAGTAAGGCATAACGAATTTGCAGAGCTCTTTAAGCCACATGAGGTAGGAAAGACTGATTAATATTCTTGTTTTCTCTTAAGGAAAATACTGAAAGCTAGAGCAACTGTGTGCCAGTGAGAGTTCTTGACACAACAAGAATATAAAAATACATCCTGGCCTAAAACCAGGCATTCTGAAGCTGCAGATCTTGGCTTGTGTGGCATCTGTGCAACAAAAAGAGACAAGCTTATTAGAACTGAACACTGATGTTTTTTTTTTTTTAAGTAACAGAATGAACCAGCATTTTAAACAAAATTACATCATACACATTACAATAGTTTGCACTGCTTTATTTAAAAAATTCGTATTCCAAGTCAACGCAACAGAAGCATACAATAAACAGAAATACTGCAGTATTAGTGAGTAACTTTGGAAAATTAAAAGTTCTGTATAAAAAAAAAGGCTGAATTTCATTTGCAGCTGGGTGCACTCGCAGCAAGCTGTACTTACTACAGGCTTAAATGAACAAAGGCACAAGGTACATCCAATGATTATTTTAAAAGCTACAATAAGCAGCCAGACCTGGCCTAATTCTAGCCACTTCAATTCAGTCACCAAAAGAAAGTACAGGGGAGTTTCATGTCATGGAGGTATTTTTAATCAGTGAAGCAGCTTCCTTTAACTGTTGTCTTCCAGATGCGCAGTCCCTTGAACTAACTACACCACCCAAGCAGTTTCAAGCCCTCATCTGGCATTACTGCATGTAAAAACCACTTTTGGCTAAAACCCAGCCCCTCAGTGTCACCCATTCTCTCCCTGATGTAGCATTTAAGCCTGTGGTTCTAACTTCATTTAGCTAGCAGGGTACGGCCAAGGCACGGTAACTGGATTTCTTCTACCCGCTACAAGCGGAATCAATCACACATTGAACACCCATCCTGCAAACAATCTTTTGAAGCTAAAATATGGAAATCTTCCTATTCTCCGTGAACTCCCACCAAAGAAATCGTTATTCACAGCAGCCTGAAGCCGCAATTCGGACACTAACTCAGCCCTTTGGGTTAGGTGCATCAAACAAGCAACACACTACAGGGCTCTGAAATAAGTTAGGGCATCTGCATGCCAATCACCAGGTACTTACAAGAAAAAGTACAAGAAAAAGAAAAGAGTACAAGAAAAAGCGATGAGCTGATTTACCGAGTACCAAACTGCTTTAGAAGCATAAGCAGCAAGTTAAAAACTAACCGACAGCGAAGCTGCGAACACGATGCACAGATACTTCGCTGAACGAACAGCTGAAGGAAGCCCAAGAACACTTCCTGATTAGTTCACGAAGCAGCATGTCAGTGCCCCAGCAGAGGAGTCAGGCATTCTGCAGCAGGGACGTTTCACTAGCCTTCCCCCCTTCTCTCACACTGTTTCTCTGTCTTCAACATTAGGCCCATAAAGCAGTTCTTAGCCTGCCATTTCACTAGTATACTGTGAAGACTGGAAGTGTGTATTTGACTAAATAAATAAATGTAGCTAAACAAAATAACAAAAAAAAAGCCAACAAAAAAAAATCACCTCTCCAACCAAAAAAACCTCCAAATGCACTCAATCCCCAAGCCTACCACCATATGATATCACACACAACCTCACAAATAAGCAACTTAAGGCTTACAAGACTGCTTTTCATGATGTTCTGGTTTTTGCTTTGCATTTAAACCCTTCCCTTGTTTCAGAGTTAGTTTTCATCCTCAGAAATATATTGTTACAGTTCCCCCTCCCACCCCAAAACAGCAATTCATGAAGCTTGGCACAGTGTCAGAACCTTTTACCATGAAATTAAGCAACGCAAACGTTTACAGATACTGAGTCCCAGCCTGGGACTTACATCATCTCTAGATATCTGCGCACTAGCTCACCTTCTCAGTACTGGTTTGAGGGGAGGGGGGGGAGATATATCTGATAGCAAATACAGTTATTATAAGTCCAACATTCCTAATTCTGAAAACGGCAAATAGTATTATCTGATAGTGAGAGAGAGCTTATATGAAAATATAACTGGATGCTTTTCTCCATAGTTTGTCAGAAAGCAGCCACCTATTTAAGAGATTGAAGATTAGAAGTTTACCTCTGCATCATATCTGACAGCAGCAGAGAGCAATGAAAATGCATTTTCCACAGTAATTCCTCTCTTGATAATGTGCTGACACAGTTTTTTCAGTCTATTTTCACAGTATGAAGTAGCCAAATCCAAAAGCCCTGCAATTAAAATGCCAGCGTGTTAGTCAGTTGTAGTGGTCTCCGCTCTTTCAACAACAGTTTATGTCCCTGGGGTACAGACTGCATCTGTATTCTATAGGCAACGTCCTGTACGTCTATAACACACTTTTTGCAAGTAGGTCAACTGTTCATAAAACTGTATTTTACCATTACCCAGGAAAAAAGGCCTTCTATTACCTCACGCCACAATCCTGTTAATCCCTGTAAATACACAAGCTGTTCCACTGATTTGCATACCTAACTGCTTACGGGAGCAGAACTGTCACAAAACAGTCACAACACGAGCGAAAAGCTACCATTACAAAAATCTGTGCTGAGTTACAGCTTGCTGTTTGCTCTGCTGTCCAAGTTCCCCCTATCAGATCTACTGAGAGTTTTTTGATACTATCCTAAACAATAGTTGACTCAGCTTAGTAAAATATGCAAGTATTTTAACTCAGAGAAATAGTTTCTCTCCCCATCTTGAAAAAACCGCTCATAGTTTATTTTTAAATACGCACCGTTTTGCTGTAGTAAATTTGCTACAACAGTATTTTAAAGACAGCTTAATTAATCACCAGTAAAATGCATTACAGACTAGACTAGAAGAGTGTATTAAAACATTTATGCTGCATCCCCTGTCTCAGTTTTTCCAGATGCTGCTTTCTAACATTATTGGACCATAAGCAATACCTATTGCATCTTCAGGCGGAAGGTCAACACTGTCTGTATACAAGTACTCAAGAAAGGCACGATACACAGGATAAGAAAACTGGTCTATTTCTATCACTTCCTTCATATCCTCATTCCAGTATGACTGGAACATGGTTCTGAAGTGTTCACACCTAAGAGACAAAGACATCATCTGGAACACTATTATATGAACACACGAACATTACATTATAGTCCCCCTGAAATACGTATTTGGAGCACTCATCAATATTCACAAATATTTTACCATACCCCATGACAACCAGTGGCCCACATTGTGGTTCCCAATACTGTGGGCATTATTACACTTATGCATCAAGATAAAACTCTTATTTGATCTATTTGATTGAAACGTCTCCACGTACATTGCAATCAGACCAACTTAACAGAATTTATTACCCTGGGAACAACAAATAGGCTTAATGAAAATTGAATATGGACCATTTTAAGACAGAGTTTTAAGTCAACTCCTTTTACAATCACTAATTTAAAGTGATTATGGATACATAGATGCTATACTTTACAGGTTTAGGGGTCCCTCCCTACCCCTTACTTCTTTTACCCCCTTAGATGCAACACTAAGAGGTTATTCTGTATAAAAAAAGAGCTGTGAAATATGACCACTACCTGATTTTCAGAACAGCTTTGTGGACATGGATGTACTTTCCATCCACACGGAACTTTAGGTCTGAGGTTTCTGGGCTGTCAAACTCTTTCTTCAGAGACTCTGCTACTGTTAAAAAGTCTTCATGCTCTACAGAAATGATTTCAAGACACACAAAAAAATAACACGTTAAGCATCTTAAACAGAACACACGCATCAGTAACTAAAGCTACCAGCTCAACGAAGAGCATGTCAAGGAAAACAGGTCAGTATCAGGGCTCCATTGCCGAAGTGGTCAAATGGGAAGCACGAATGTTGCCAAGGCCTGCTCCACAACGGCTACAGGCAGCAGCAGGCAGCAGCTCCCCTTCCAGCTCGTTGCACAGAGCCAGCACAGCACCAAGGCAAGAACCCGGAGAACTTCCTTTCTCCTTCTCTGCCTGGGCACCACCCATGACATTGCCAGCCTCCTGGCAGCTCAGTGCTAGCGCTGGGTCAGCTCAGCTCTGCAACCTGCAAACTAGTCTCTGCAGCTAACCTGCAGACTGCCGGTAACGCGCGTCTACAGCACCGCCTGCAACTCACTCGAGACACAGCGTACAGTACTTCAGCCGCGCTGACACGGTGATCTGAGCCTAAGAGTAAGAAGACATGTCACCAGTTGGCCAATTTTTTGCGCTGGCAGATCTGATATAGCCTGCAGGTTGTGTGTTAAGGTCTTTGCCAGGGCTCACTAACATGAACTATCACTGACACCATTATACTCAGCTTATTAGTCAGTTATGACAACACAAAATCCAACAGCAGTGCTGCTGAAGAGAGTCAGGAGTTACTGGTACAACCAAGTAGGTTCTCAGTACAACCAAGGACACAGTACTTCAGCAATTTCGGAAGTGGATTAAAGCTGAAATATCACAGGTCTTTGGCAGTTCAGTCTATTAAGGCCTATGGCACTGATACCACAGAGGTCCCATTCAGTGTCTCTAGAAATCATACAAGAGCTGCAGCACATGTTGGCTAAGGCTTGTGGTAAAGCAAGAACGCTGAAGTTTCAGAAAGCGCGATTTAACCCACTATTCAAAGCTTCTGCTGATGCATCTTAAAAGTGTGTTTCAAAACACATGGCTTCTAAGAAGCAAAGTATGGAAAAGAAAAATAAGTGGACTTCCACTATAACAGGATGTGGTCTGTCTCCTGTGTCCCACAGCACTGCCTAGTGTTCATCCATATACAATCCACAAATTACTCTTCACCATTAGGGACAGGTAAATTAGTTGGTATTTAAAAAGAAATACTGCTGTAACAGACAAGTCATATTTGTGCCACAAAAGATCATACACTCCTCTGATTTACACGGATCATCCACAGATCCTGCATCTCATCAGGGCTAACTAAACTGTGCTCCAATCCCCCTCCATTTGCTCATGTGATTTTTTTTTTCTAGGTCATCAGCTTAGTTTAATCTATGCAGTAGATCAACTTTCACTCCAAATACCTTAAATTCATTCCTCAAAAAAGGCTGCAGATTTTTATTTCACCACAGCCAATCCCAAGTGACAGATTCATTTTTTTGGCAGAGCCATAATAACTGGAAGTAGAACAATAACCTTTATGCAGAGTTAGCTCTCATTAAGAAAAAAACCCACAACAAAACAAAAAAAAAAAAGAGAAGAAAAAAGGGGGGTTTTAACCTACATGAATAAAAAAACTGAAGAAGGAAAAAATTAATATGGAAAATGGAGATTAAAAATGCCCCCAGAATTAATGCTTTTTATTTAAATATTCAGTAAGTAGGATTATCCAAATAAGAGGGGAAGAACCCCCAAAGGCTAAGAGGAATTAAAATGCAGGTACAAATTTCAAATACCTTGTTATACTCAGTCTGGGAATACTTCATAAAAATCAAGAACTTGAAAGGTACTGAAGCTGGGGAGATGTCATTTAGACAGCCTTCACTATTAGCAAAAGGCAACAGCTCTGGACAACCATCAGACCTCTGCAAAGGGTGAGCCTAACATATCGCAGAGGATTAAAGAATGGCGAAAGTGAAAAGTGGGATAAAACAAGACTTGGATTTACCCAGAAGCAGATCACTCCGAGCTAATCTTCTCTCTTTAGTGAAACTATTCAGTTTTCCTTTATAGACAAGATGCTGTTATCTGGACCTCTATAAGTGTGATAACATGCTAAATGAGAAGTTAAGGTGGAGAAGCTGGGTTAGGACAAGCCACATGCAAAGATAGTCTGAGTTTGGAGAAAGGTTACTTAGAATGTGATCCCTCCACAAAACCAATTTTGTACAGGGACTAACAAAATTAGCATCTGTTGCAAATATGAAAACAAATTAGATCTCCTAAATGACCTTGAGAACTGAAATGGCAGACAGTTGAGATGAAAACATAGTCATGTTTTGAACACAAAAACACCTTCATGTTTTCAAGAAAGTGCAAGCTAAGCATATATTTGGAGTCAAATAAGAATTAGCAGCATGTGAATCACAGATAACCAAGAAGAAAGGCTTGGGCTTATTTGCTGGTCACAGAGACTGCATCCCAAAGTGTAATCCAAGGCGGTATAAAAAGAGTTCCAACAGAGAAAACAATTATATTAGAATCTTGTTTTACAGGGATTATTATTTACAAGTCTGCCCGTCTTTGGGGAAAGTCAAACTAAATTCAGTTGAGAGAAATCATCTCACAAGATGAAGATTTGGAATTCTGTTACTTTCCTAACATGAAACACAGGAGAGAGATTCACTCTTTCACATTCATAGTGGAAGGGTAAATACTAAGGAGGGCGTCCTGGTTTCAGCTGGGATAGAGTTAATTTTCTTCTTAGTAGCTGGTACAGTTGTCCTAGTGGGGCTGCCATAGAATTATGGGCCAGCCATGCTAGGCAGGCCCTTAGCAGTTTTGAGTCATCTACAGGTGTAGCCCATATGATAACATCGTGCTCATTATAAAGGGGGAAGGTTTGCTGAGGAGAGGGAGCTCCTGTGGGGTTCCTGCTGGGGTTCCTCCTGCTCCTGAGGACTGCTCTCCTCTGGATTGCGACTGCTGCATATTCATTTGGCTGGGTATAACCGTGTATACCTTTGTTGGTGTTAGGGCTGTTTGGTTAAATCTGTTTTCACTTCAGCCCACGGGTCTCCGCTCCTTTTCCTGATTCCTCTTCCTGGCTGGTGAAGGGTCATCGGGTGACAGAGCAACTAGTATGAAAACATGTTGTTGACACACTGATGTTTTAGCTGTTGCTAAGTAGCACTTACCCTAAATTAAGGATTTTTCAGTTTCCCATGCTCTGCCAGCGAGCAGGTACACAAGAAGCTGGGAGAAAGCACAGCCAGGACAGCTGACCCGAACTAGCCAAAGGGATATTCCATACCATAGAACACCATGCTCCATATATAAATTATTCCAAGTAGGAGTAGTTTTAAGAGGAAAAAAACCCCACCACCTTATCTTTAATAATCCAGGAGTACTTCCCAGTCCTGAGCTGGAGCTCAAACTATACAAGTGTAGGAAATGCACAACATTCACAGTGCAATAGTAAACCAGGGTTCTCTCCAGATGTATACTGGCAAACAAACAATCTGGCTAACCCTTTTCTGGATCCTTAGCTACTGAAGTAGACTGTTTTCTTCAGAAGAAAAAAATCCTTCAGAAGAAAAGAGCTAGTTTTAATTGCTGGTTCTCCTTAAAGCAGGAACCATCCTGCCACAGGAGTGCTATCCTGTACTACTCACTACAAGTGACACAGATTATAGCACTGGCTGCCATATCAGAGCTTGTTCTCACCTACTGACAGAAGACGCCACATAACAGCAGGGGTAGCAAAGCAAGCAAACACATCGTCAGTGCAGGCAAAGTGAGTGAGGTGGGGAAGGATCACGGACTGCCCACGGCACTGGCCCCACATGTACACCTGGCCGCTCTGGGTCTTGGCAGCCGACGTGTGAGCAGAGTGGCAGGCTGCGATCTCCACTACCCTGTGAACAGAAGAAACCTTGTAAGATACAGGCACAGAATCAAGTGACTTTCCAAATGCCTCACCAAAATAACTGCCAACCACGCTACGCATCTACGCTCCTGTACTTCTTCCTTTGTCCTGCATGAATATGACTGTTCAAATGGATATTTAAGAACTGCAAGCAGTTCGCTTGTAGACTTTACTGTAATCAGATACTGCTTTAATTATGTCATTCTCATGAGTTGATATTCCTCTTCTTCCATAACCATGAGACAGGGATGAAGGAAAACAAAATTTTATTTTTCCCCTTTAAAACCAACGCACATCAGACACTTATTCTCAAGAACAAATGCTTATGGAGCTTATGAAACTTCCAGTTAGGGAACAGGCAGGAAAGTTATATTACTAAGATTTTTGCAGAGCATTTTTCAGAACTTCTTACAAACAGCTGTAAAAATGTTCTCATTTTGTGATAATTTCCTATGTATTTTTCAATAAACCCTTTATTAAGAAACCCTTCTACCCCCTCTTTTAATCTGTGTTGTGTTTTGGTTTTTTTGTTTGTTTGTTTGTTTTTAATGTAGATCAACTACCTGTATTCCTGACTTCTTATTTTGCTGTTAGTTTCCTTTCCTCAACACTGAAATTCAGCATGGAACAGGGACAGTGCTTCATTCAAGGAGAGGTGAATACACCCACTTAACTCCACATTCTTGCAGAGCTATGGTTGTTTTTTAAATAAAGTCTATATGGTATTCTCACCCACCTCACGTAGTTCCTTAAAATATTAGAGCTGCTATAAGACAACTTGGAATTCCCTGAAACAATAGCAGCCTAAGAAGGAGGGAGGAGGGGGGAGCAGGGGCAAAGGCCCTCTGAGCCTTCCCAAGGAATGTCTCAAACACTCGATGAACGATGCAGACCTTGTGCTTAATAAACTGATAAGGCTAACACTTGCTTATCTCTTGTGGGCCTGGATAGCACAGGATGCAGCTGGAGGAGGGAGTCCTGCTGAGACAGGGCAGCACTCCTCTGGCCCAACTAATTTGTCTTTGGGGCCATCATGTCCCATGAATGACTTTTGCCTCATTATCAGTGAAATGCATATTGAAGCTGACACCCATCTATATGCTAATGAAGATTTTAGAGATGATGCTAAACATATATGATTATAGCACTAGTCTCTCCACCTCGATCATGTTACACATCACCCAGGGGAGAGGGGGGGAACCTGAAACGAAGTAGTGGGGCAGGTTGTACTGGTACAGCAAACATAAAAGGGGGAGATAAAAGCCACAAAGTGGTGAGGGGAAATAAGGGAAGAAAACACACAGAGAAGAACGCTCCTAAGACCAGAGACACACAGCCCCGCTTGTTGGCTGGACCGATGTGGGAACCAGGACCAGTGATCTCTCTCTCTCTTCCTCTGTTTCCTCTTTTCTCTATAGTTGTCAAGTAATGCAAGGCATACCTTACCACTTGCTATAGTTTGTTACATAACTAGGTCCATGGCAATTGGATATGTAAGATGCATATTAATCGCTGTGAGTTAATAAATGTTTGTGTGTGGACCTTGAGAGTTGTCTCAGCTTAGTCCACACCGCGGGGGATTTGCAAATCTGAGTCACATGCCCCCCCTCTTCTGAGTGGGTCGTGACAGCTGCTGACGCACTCTTATCTATTCTGTTCTCCCATTGCTCAGGCAATCCCTCTCTTGCTACCTGAAATGTTAAAAGAACTGAGAAGAATCATGCTTCCATTAAAGGGACCACAAGGACATTTGCAGTGTCTCCGTTCACAAGATAGGCAAAAACCAGGGGAAGTTCCAGCATTAGTTCAAAGTAAGAGCTATGTTTTCCTGTTTTTTTCTCCATGCTAAAAATGCCTCAGAGGATTTCATGGTTTCGTGCCAGAAACAGATTGACTGGGACAAATAAATGTCTTTCCAAACAGTCTAAGAATATACGTATCAAAACATTTGCTCCTTTACAGAACAATATCCACAAAGAGTTAGCTTTTTAGGCAAAAAGCTTTTTTAGCACAAAGCCCACATTTTAGGTGCAAAAATTGTTTCAAGATAAAACACAGAAAGAATCTACAATTACTTTCAATATACACATTGCTAATTTCTGGCAGGTAAAAGACTAACAGATTGTTTTACACTGTTATCAACTTATGAACCTCTATGCAACATTGAGACCTTTCAGCTTCTCCACAAGTGACATCATGAAGTAATTATTTTAGGGACAACTTACTTCCCATGATAGCTATCCACCTAAACTACTTCCTTCCCCTACTTTCTTTCCTTAGCAGAACAGATTCTTATTTTTAGAGTAACTATACTATAGTTAAGTAGTATAGTAGAACGTGTGCTATAACACATGTGTAGTATACGCACAGGATAACACTGTAAGCACACACTTCGCATCAAAATTCAGGAAGCTCACCTTCATAGGTGTTCCTCCAAGCTGACACAAACTAAGGTCTAAAAGTTCCTTACAAGCTGTATGTGCAATATTCTTCAAGATAGCATCAAATGCCACCTCCTAAGGAACTGTCATCAGCATTACATACAAATGACAAAAGTGTTACATAAATGAAAAGATGAGGAGAAGCAGCAGAAATATGCTTCATGGGAAATGACAGCTGACCCACTTACAGCACTGTTTCCAAGGCAGCTGAGTCAAGCAAGATGAGTAAGTTCAAGTGACTTATCTCTCCCTTAGAGCCCAAGCAGAAGTTTTATGATATTTTCTCCCTCCTTTAGTCTTTGAATAAATGCCAGTTTTATTATAATCCCGTGCTTGAGTTCACATGCAGTTCTAAACGCAACAGTTCCCTTTAGTTCACACTAAGGAAACAAAACTGATCTATTTGCAAACATACACATTTCTCTTCCAGTGCTTTTAAAAATAATTCACCTTCCTTCCCTAGTGTCAGTTCCTTCACAGACAAGCCAGCCTCACCTCAGTGGCTGCTGTTGTGATGGGTCCTTTCTTCTTTCCCCTCACTGATTTTTTTAAGATCTTAAATAATCTCAGTACTGTGCAGCTTCTAATTTAATGTTAAGCGTGAGAAACAGGAAAAAATACGAACAACTTCCCAGAAAGACAGTTCAGAAATGGAGGAGAAAAACCAGCCACAAGTGTTTCCTAGCTAAGAGGAGATTACAAATTAAGAGATTTACAGGTTAAGGGATTTATAGACTAAGAGGTTTCCATACTGAGGTACATTAATCTATAGGTATACACATGGGCCCAGAGAATGGGACTGAGGTCCCAGTTTGCAGGTGAACAGCAGAAGAGCCACCCCAAGTAGGAGGATGACAAGAGGGTGGACAAGGGTTAGGGTTATTCTTTTATAATCCAGGAAATGAAGAAACTGCAAACTACTAACTGGTACCACTGATAGATGTGGTACTATCTGTCCTCAGCTCTAGCAGCCTTGCAAATTGAGTTCTGTTTACATGGGTGGCTATTGTCAGGATCTCAAAAAATCGTTTTTTCCTCACACGTCACTTCTTACAAAGGTGGTCCTTCCTCTCCCCCCCCCCCCCCCTTTTTTTTTTAATGTAGGCCTTAATATAGCTCAAAAGCTTGGCTTATCAACTTCATAGCTCCAAGTTTTTAACCAAAGGAACCATATTTAGAATAGCTTAACAGTCATTCATTATCTTTCAGGATCAAGTAAATACAAAGTATGTTTACTTTCAATAATCATTACAGATAGCAAAAAGCCCTTAGTCTACAGTAAACAGTAAGTTATCATCTTTTTCTGTGTTTTAATGTAAGCAATAGAAAAAAAAAATCCACCAAGCCCTACACACACATGCTTCCAGTGCTAGAGACTGCATAACACATGCTCAGACTTATCAATCCAGAAACAGCTTCAGCAAGATTACCTTTCTTTTTCCATCATGATCTGCACCGGGCTTAGCTGGTTACTTTTATTGCCAGTTCCCAGCTGCCCGTAAGTGTTAGCTCCCCAGGCATAGAGCAAACCCTCATCTGTTAGTGCTAGTGTGTGCGCATAGCCACAGGCAATCTGTAAGTAAATGTATAAGCGTTACTACTAAACAAAACAGAGATGAGAAACAAAATTATCGCACACATTACCTTGGACTAGCCGATGTTAAATCTCTCTGGCATTCTTCGTTTAGCACTACAATGTGGTTTCTTTCTCAGTACTTAAAGCAAAAGTCCCAACTTCATTAACTTAGTGTTCATTGGTTGCTTCTGAATAATTTACTGCACTCTTGCAAAGTCTCCCTAGCCTTTACTTGCTTTCAACTGCAGAGTCTTCACACAAGGAACAGTGAAATTCATCATCACGTCTTGCAACTCTGAAATACTTTCAGAATTTGATATTTTGAATACTGTACAAACTACGAGAGCTGCAGTTCAGCAGTCAACAACCATTCACCCCAAGCTACCACATGAAACTCCACAGAACCTTACTAAAAACCCAGGAAATGCCCAGTTTAATTTTATTCTTTAGCTGGGGAAAAAAAACAAAACAAAACTAAACTAAAAAAACCCAAAACAACAAAGAAAACCCAACCACCAAACAACCAAACTTACACCCATGACTCATCTTCCCTCTCCCCTCACTTCTGGAGAGCTAATTAGTATATTGATGTAGAATCTAATTTCGACATCTTGTTCCCCTTCGGTTCTTGTCTTTGCCTAGTGCATTTCATTCCTTCAGCTTTGTAACAAAGATGCAATTTGTATCCACAGCAAAATTTACTTATAGTTACACTAGCTAACTTTAAATCATTCAGAACATTCACAAAGCAAGTATTTTACAGCTTACTTGCACTTTCTATAAGTGCTCCTATTCATAGGAGCTAAAAAAATTCAGTATTCGAACCGTGAAATCTAGAAGCAGGTATGAGATCCCAAAGATACAGTTTTAGCAGATGCTAGCAACATGAATGCATTTTTATTTCCACGTTAGACATACCTGGAGTATACACACACCATGTAGTGCTGCCACTCTGCATGGCGTTAGTTGATTGCCATTGTTTCCAAGACCTAGCTGACCATTTCCATTGTAACCCCAGCCATAAACCTGATTGCAAAGGGAAAACAAGATTAAGCCAATCCTGAGAAGTACAGAACATTTAAGACTCAGTATCAAGCACAAGTCAAAAAAGTAAGTCTTATTAAAAAACTGTACACTATTTCAAGAGCAATATAGAGAAGGGTGAAAGATACTAAATATACTGCAATGACTGACTGTATTCAACTTTTCAATCCTGCATTTACCTTTTAAAAAGCTTTCTAAGGTATATTTGTCTTTGAAGCACCAAGAATTTTGCAACAAACTTAAAATACACCAAAATCTCTCTGTTCAAATTCTTACAGTTGCAGACTCAGTAAGAATTACATTCCAATACAGTCCTTGCCATAAGAAGGAATGTTTAGTATAAAGACAACATCTGCAGTTAACTGCAGAGTTTTTGTAAAACTGATCTCACAGAAGTTATCAACAGAACTCTAACATAACTATCAATACAACTCTATAACCTGAGCACTCCACGTCAGCATTTCTCAATGTTCAGACATTAGCTTCGTAAGTTCAGGTAACAGAGAGAGAACGTGAGAATGCAGCAATGCTTACCTCACCGTTACTTACTACAGCCATGGAGGAGGTCTGACCACAAGCAATGCCAACCACCATTTTACCCTGTAAACAGTTCGAAACTCTACGAGGAGTTGGCTGGTTTGCTGTAGATCCAGATCCAACTTGACCACAGTTATTATAGCCCCAAGCATACAGCTGTCCGTAAAAACAAACCAAAATCAGTAGTTTAAGCCTTAAAAATAGTAATGATAGTAATAAATTATAGTCTTACTATATTCAGCATCAGATTGGGTAAACTGTCCTATCTAATGAGCGAAAATGCTTAAAGTTAAATGCTTCTCAACAACTGAAAGTTACAAACAGCAACAGGCTTGATCTAGTAAATAGGAACACAGCACTTTTTTCAGCTTCTTGCTACAAAACCGGAGCATCTGACTACAAAGGAACATATTTCCATATAAAACATGTCAGGCTACAAGACAAAGAGCATAGTGAGTGGACTGTCTTCATACTTTCATGATGTAATTTTTCCAACATTCTGGCTTGCACTTCTTTGTTTCCCAGACAAGCTGAACTCCCAAATTTATAGCTATTTGGTTTTCTTCATAGAACTCTAAACCAGGTCATTGCTGGACACTCATCATACCCCTTCTATATCTTTCAAGAGCTGTGAAAGGAGACGGTTTTGTCAGCCTGTGTTACACAGTAGCAAAACTCTTACACAATAGCATTAACAAAAAAGCAGCATCTCTGACAGTTCAAAGTTTGCCAGTGGCAAACTAATAAAAAACAAACCCAAAAATACTGGTTCCTTTCATCTAAAAGTCCAGATGACAGGGAAGTAGTTTGCTATAAAAAACATTTACAGCTTTTTCATTTCAGTTCGTTCAATTTTGATTACGTGCATACATACCCATAGCTTCACATAAAACTTTCTGATAGTTCATTGTCTGGTGCATCACCCAGTTAAAAAGTCTGTCCTCTTGAAAATACCCAGCCACAGACATGCTAGCCAGTAAAAGCACACTGACAGATAATCTAATGTCAAGTCTGCACATCCTTTGGTGCCCAAAGCCAGCAAACCAAAAGCCACTCATTAGAAACGAATGCCTCCACTGCCACACACAAAAAACCCAACCAAACAAAAAGAGCCACCAAAGACAAGAACAAAAAACCTCCCACTGATACAACTCATTTACCATGTCTAACATGAACAAAAGAAAGCACTGGTCCTTTGCTTTTTGTTATTTATATTTGCTTGATCTTTTATTCCTACTGAATACTTGAAGATGCTCTATAAAACTTCTTAATTTCAATAACAAAAGAAAAAAATTGAGGTAGAGAATCTCAGAAGGTAGATCAAAATGCCAACAAGCTAATCAGTTTCCTCTCTGAGAAGCACAAATGTCTGCAATCTAAGTCTCTCATTAAGATTTTTTTTAATTTGCACTGCATTAAAATTGCACTGAAACAACTGTACAAATCAATTATGCCACGTACTTCCAAAATACTTCCAACTTCAATGCCCCTCTGAAACTTCAGATGTATCAAGTCACAAGGGTTTTTGCAGTCAAATCTTTCCATAAATAAAACTGTACTTAACACATTTCACTGCTTTCAGCGTGGCACAGACAAAACCTCAGTGCACAAATAGACTAAGCTACCGCAAGGTACTCTACAGATGGATTTATAGTACATTAACTAGCCACAATGACGAGCATGCTGCAAATACCAACTGCAGGGTAAACGAAGAAACCTCCTCGCTTCCACTGAGATTTCAAGCATGTTACATTTATTCCAAGAGACAGCATGGCCATCATGGGCAGCAACCACACAGCAGCTGGACCCACTAGTTTAACTTACACATGAACACCCTCTCTTTCCTGCATGCGCACCAAATTTGACAGTTTAACCAAGTCAAACACGACAGCATGAAGATCTTTCCTAAGTGTAGGCTCAGATACAACACAGACCACTTAAATTCACCCTACCCCCAAAATACTGGTTTGCCACTTTGTATTACTGTTGTACTATGACTCCATTCTAAACCATAACACAGACATGGTCCGATGACCAGGATGGAAAGAACTGGAGTTTGCATTTTTATTGTTAGGAAGACTTTAAAGTTAGAACTCTTCTTTTCTTAAAGCAGAGCTGAAAGCAGGCTTTCCTCCATGCAGTAACATGCAACTCAAACCAGAAACGCACACATTGGTCAAATCTGACTAACTGGAAACTAATTGCACATGCTTCCCATGATGCACAGCCTTAAGCCATGTAAGCAAATAGCATAAAGCAGACTTGGATATAAACCAAGTGCTCTTTCATTAGCTACACACAAAGGTATTCAGAGGTGTGCAGAGCAATGCTTTTTCACAGTACCAAGGTGGAAATCAGGAAGACTACAAGAAACAGACTAAACACTCACCAGTGAATACAAAAAACTCAATATACCCCTTAAATAACAGAACTGCAAGCAAATAACAATGTTCCGTTTTCACCTTACAAACCATTCTTTCACCTATAAGTGGCACAGCTTTCTGGCCTCATCCCTGTGAGACATACAGCAAGTCAAAGAAACAAAAGTTTACTAAGCTTTTATTCCCTTGTTTTTGTGGCTGGGTTGGGTTTTTTGTTGGGTTTTATGGGTGGGGGTTTTCTTGAGTTGTTTTCCAGGCTGCTCTGAAGAAAAGGATACCCTAGTTTGAGGCAGCAGGAGAAAAGGTTATGTTGTAACCACACTGTAGAGAGAGAACTTCAGACTGCAAGGTCACCTGCACTGTTTGCTTCCAGAAGGAGATTAAGAGATTTGAACAGGTTTCAACTTACATCCCCATCAAACGACAGCGCCATGGAATGATGAGAGCCACAAGCTACTTCCACCACTTTCTTTATTAACAGATTTGTGCAAACTTGAACAGGAGTAATGCCCTGATTGGTTGTGCCGTTGCCAAGTTGGCTGTAACCATTATGTCCCCAAGCGTATACTTCACCATCTGCAAAAATATTTGTGAGAAAAAAATACCAAAAATTCCAAGGAAGTTAAGACAGGCAGAATTCTAAGCAATTGGCAAATGCCAACACGAAAGTGAAAGGACATTAATAAATAGTGAAACTACTACAAGAATCATCTGTATACTAAAAATTATATACTTTGTATACAACTTTTATATGCACATATCACAGTATAACTTCAAGATTTGTTGTGGAAATACATGAAAGTGCACAGGTAAAACTGAGTTTGTCATAAATGATAGAGTAAAACCCTACAGCTGCAACACAATGGAAATGGAAACTTACTTTATCTATTACAGAATACATTTGGTTCCACTTAAGACCAATGAGCGTACAGTAAGACCCTTAGTGTACATTACTCAATCAACAAGTTACTACAAGTACACCTTAATCCATTCTTGTCAAATGCAAGTGGAACTTAAAGTCTGTAACTTCTGTTTCTATACTAAATGTTCATTTTCTACCTTCAGTGCAAAGTACAACATGGGGTCCACTTCCATAACTGAGACTGGAAATCTTCTTTCCACATAAGGCTTCTAATTTCTTTGGTACTATTGTGCTCTGATTATCTCCAGTCCCCAAACAATTGCTGCAATTCAGTCCAAAGACAAATACCTAAAAAACCAGAATAATACTCATTTCAAGTGATTTATACTCAGGTATGCACAGACGTGATAATATCCAGGTCTTTATAAAGCCAGGACAGAGCTTTGCCATAGACTCCCCTCATGGGAGTTCATAAGCTCAAGAGGCAGCATGAGGACACTTTGGAAGTTAACTGATGAGTCTGAATTCTTCAGATCCATGCAGAAGCTAGGCTTCTCATTTGCAGGAACCGTACTATAAAAAGTACTAAACTGTGAAAGTGGAAGGCATGATCTTTTAAATGCAGTTTGTAAAGAGCAGGCGCGGCTGTACTGTGGGAAGCTCATCCTACAGGCAGATTTCATAGGACTTAGGGGGGGAAAAAAAATAAAAATCCTACTCTACCCAGTCTTACAAGAAACCTTCCCATTAATACATTCCAGAACATCTGGCTTGTTTTCTTCCAGCAGCACACTGCTACCTTGCATTCCAAATCATCAAGATCAACAGATAATCTCCCACTGTATTGTTATTTATCAAGCCATAACCTTGTTTTTATCTTCATATCTGGAGTGCTTGTACTTAATTTCAAGCTACCACAACTTCTTTTGAATTCTTCAAAAGTGTACGTAATCCATCCTGGCCTTTGCCATTTGCAAGTTTTCTAAATACTCCATCTATATTGTCCCCATACAAGACAAGAAAAAACCAACAACAACTAAGTTACATCCAACATGTTTTAAAATATACAAATTTCACACAATGCTTTTGAGAAGCTATTAATTAGTAAGTATTCAGTGGACTCTGAAAACAATTAATTGTAGAGTATATGTTCCACTTTATTACAACCTTACCTCATCATTGTGCGTTATGTATATAGCTTCATTGGCTGATGTACCAAATACACACGCTTTCCGAATAGATGCTATTTCTTGAGGTGACAGTAAGGTAAATATTGGCCACTTGCCTACATCCACCATGATGCTGCTGTGTGTCATGACGTTTCTACAAGTAAGATGACATTGCTGTAATGAAAACAAAAGCTTATTAAAAAGTGTATTTTGCACTTTCATCAACAGGCAATAAGATGATTTCCTTTAAATGAGATGAGACACATGTTGTGGCTCTGAAAGTACAACATTCTACTCTATATGAAATATGCAATTATATTTCCATGTACTAAGGCAAACAAATAGCAAACCACTGGTAGTGCATTGGAAAAAAATAGACCTTTTCTTATTTAAGGATATTTAAATAAACTGTATTCAGTCCAGCTGAACATCTGCTGTTCCACAAGCAAACTTATCAAAAGCTTGTGAACTAGCAAATAACTACTGGTTGCAGAGTGGATTTCTGTCAGAATTTTCAGAGGGAACTTCAGTTTGAATTTCCATTTATAAAATTTTCACTCATGAAATTTTTTTTTGTAGTTTTACAACTTATATATGCCATGTAAGCAAGCTGTTGATGTACATGTGAAACCTGCAAATAAAAATAAAGCTGGGGCTGTTGAGCATATGACCCAAGTTCGCCCTCTCTTGCATAATCAAAGGCTGTTGTTATGGTCAAAAACTGTTTGTGAGAGCACAAAAGCACGTGATAAACTCGTGAGTTTGTACAATTAAGCAGAGAAACACATCACAGAAGAGTGATTAAGTAAAATTGTCATAATCTGTTACTTAGAAACAAGCTGGACACCATTTAAAAGCTGGAAACATGGCTGGGTATAAACATCCTCTGTCAATGAACACAGATGTATACAATCCATCCTTCCACAATGCTCCTTCTTCCCAGTTTCCTCAGGACAATTGCGCCAGCTCAAGAACAAAGCTGACAGTCAACACAAACATACAGAGCTTATCTAGGCCTTCATTCCTGCACACAAAAATTGTAACATTGCTCATACCCTGATGGGATTCTGCCACTGACAATCTATGATCTGTGCTCAGGAGTATCAGCAAGTTTTGTGAAATCTGAAAAGCACTAAGTGGAGAATTCCACAGAATGTCAGAGACATGACACAAATCACAACAAACCATTTAAAATAAATAAACAGAAGGCTAAAGAATTATTCAACAGGTAAGAAATGCAGTCTCTATCCAGATGCCATCCTCTCATCAGCATTTAGTTCTTCCCTTTTCACTTGTTTGCTCCAGTCCTATCCTACCCACTATTCTTTGTTCTGTTGCTTTCAAGTCAGGCTGCTTCTTGATGATGCCTCGGTATTGGATACAGACAACGGTGAGAACACAAGAGAGCCTCTTTGCTTTGCTTCTGATGCTTGGTCGTCACAACTGTGCTGACAACCAAGACATGGCTTTGGAAAGCTATTCAAGACCAGCAGTCAATCCTAAAACACAGGTTGTTCAGTGCAGATGTTTTTTGGAAGAGGTTTATTATTATTTTTTAAAAAGTTTGAGAAGCACTGAGTGGAAATGTGTACCAAAAAAACCCCAAGATAAACAAAACACAGACTTGTCTCCTTATCAGATTTCATAACCTTACTCCAACAAACCCAGCTCTGCTCTACAGGCACCTCTCTCATCGAGAGCCTGACTTCACTCTACATTTCACATTTGAAGCAGGTCTTGAAACCACCTGAATTCTCCAGATGGCACACTCGTAACAAATTTCTGTTGAAGAGCTTCTGAAAGTCTGCCTGATGCCAAGACCACAGCACATTCTACACAGCTAAACAGATTTGAATGCATTTAAGCCTTCTTAATTTCTAGTCCAGTTACAAACTCAGGCTAGTTAGCTGCTAAGATTTGTTACCTCACTTTGGCAAATCTTTTAACATATGACAACATCAATTAAAAGGAAACAGCGACAACTTGTTCTTTTGAGCAGATCAAGCACTTGTGCCTTCCTATTTAACTTGCCTCATAAAATATGCAATTGGCAGTGCACAAACATGTCATAAACTGGACATTAAGAAAAATATTTTCTTCACTGAAGTTCTTTTTAACACATCCTGTTAATTTAAGACATGAAGACAAAATGTTATTCTGATGGAGAATAGGGTAGTAAATTAACTAGTTGTACAGAACCCTGGAAACCTATTCTACTGTAAAGATGGTGTGGTTTAACCCCAGCCGGCAACTAAGCCCCCATAGAGCCACCTTCTCACTCCCCGTCAGGTGGGATGGGGGACAGAATCAGAAGGGTAAAAGTGAGGAAACTTGTGGTTTGAGATAAAGACAGTTTAATAGGTAAAGCAAAACCGTGCATGCAAGCAAAGCAAAGCAAGGAATTCGATCACCACGTCCCAGCAACAGGCAGGTTTTCAGCCATCTCCAGGAAAGCAGGGCTCTGTCACGTGTAATAGTTAATTGGGAAGACAAATGCCATCACTCCAAACCTCCCCTCCTTCCTTCTTCCCTGAGCTTTATACGGTGGCATGGGAGATCTCTTTGGTCAGTTGGGGTCAGCTGTCCCAGCTGTGTCCCTTCCCAACTCCTTGTGCACCCCCAGCCCACTCGCTGGTGGGGTGATGTGAGAAGCAGAAAGGGCCTTGGCTCTGTGTAATCACTGCTCAGCAGTAATGAAAACATCCCCGGGTTATCAAAGCTGTTTTCAGCACAAATCCAAAACACAGCCCCATACTAGCTACTATGGAGAAAATTAACTCTATCCCAGCCAAAATCAAAACAAAAGGTAACCAGTTCAAAATGAGCTACTTATCTCCCTTTCTGATCTTTGCACTACATTTTTAATCCGCTTGGCCTATTTTCCACTACTCTGACACAGTTTAACACCCATCTTTGACAAAACCTTCCCAAGCACTTCCAAAACCTTTGCGAGTTACACTGCTTTTCTCATACCTCAAAGCTCAACTAGATATCTTGTCTGTGATGGGTTGACCCTGGCTGGACCCCAGGTACCCACCAAAGCTGTTCTATCACTCCCTGTCCTCACAAGGACAGGGGAGAAAAGTGATGAAAGGCTCATGGGTCAAGATAAGGACAGGGAGATCATTCAGCAGTTACCATCACAGGCAAAACAGACTTGACTTGGGGAAAAATTAATTTAAATTGGTACCAATCAAATCAGAGAAGGGTAATGAGAAATAAAACCAAGTCTTAAAAACACCTTCCCCCCACCCCTCCCTTCTTCCTGGGCTCAACTTCACTCCCTCTTTTCTCTACCTCCTCTCCACCAGCGGCACAGGGGGACAGGGAATGGGGCTTGTGGTCAGTTCGTCACATGTTGTCTCTACTGCCATTCCTTCCTCCTCAGGAGGAGGACTCCTCACACTCTTCCTCTGCTCCAGCATGGGGTCTCTCCCATGGGAGACAGTCCTCCACAAACTTCTCCAACATGAATGCTTCCCACGTGCTGCAGTTCTTCATGTACTGCTCCAGTGTGGGGTCCTCCATGGGCTGCAGGTGGATATCTGCTCCATCATGGACCTCCATGGGCTGCAGGAGGACAGCCTGCCTCACCATGGTCCTCACCAGGGGCTGCAGGGGGATCTCTGCTCTGTTGCCTGGAGCCAGCTGGCATTGGCTATATTGGACATAGGGGAAGCTTCTAGCAGCTTCTCGCAGAAGCCCCTCCTGCTACCAAATCCTTGCCACACAAACCCAATACATTTGTCACACAAGCTAATACCAGTAGATAAAAGAAAATCTTTCAAGCACACAAGACTTTCCAATTGAAGACACGAGCAATGAACTGCACCCGCAGATGAAGATCCTTACAATTTTTGACAGGTGTAACACTGCTTTATCTAAAACAATGCTGTATATTTCAAACTTAAACTGTTACTACAATCCTACAAAGCTATTTCAAGGGTTTTCCCTAAAATGTTTTTAATGACAACTCATCTGCCACTGGCAAGTTAGTTTCTTTAATAAATCTCAATCCTAAAGCCTCTCCAGGTTTAGCAACCAAAAAAGGTTCACAGAAGTCCTTAAAACAAAACCAAACAAGCAAAGAACAGAAAACATCTCTTGCCTTTTATATAATATGTACGATTTCTCCCCAAACACACATCCTTTCCCCCTCCTCTACAAATATCAACTATTGTCCTTAGATGCTGCCATTTGCTGGAGTACCTATCATCATTCAGTTGCAACAGCAGCTACTTTTGTTTATGCTTATGTCTAAATGAGTGAAAACATACAAACCTGAAAGTTCTGAGCCTTATACACGGACTACTGTTTCTTAGCTTTAACGGTGCATAGAAAGCTGTTTTCACTACTTATTCTCCATTTTCCACAGAAAATAAATGCCCAACCTAGGCATAAGCACCAATCCCCTCTAAAGACAGATTCCTTAACAACCTTAGCCAGTTCCCTAGTTTTCTGATAAAAGTTTTTGGGGGGGGGGGGAGAAGATCTACAAAGGGAAACAAAGTATTTGGGGAATATATATTTATATATAGTACTGTAAATGGAGTTGTCAGTAAAGTTATCAGTGTTATCAAAGCAGAAACCAAATTAATATTAGCATCCTCTAAGACATACTGCACACTTTCCGAAAGGGTAGACACTCTGCAATGCTGTGACTGACGTCTCACACCAGTCGCACTCCAACTTCATCCTTGCACGACATTTGTCCGAATACGGGGAGGAAGAGACGTGCGCAGTTTCCTCTGGGCAAATCCTTGCTAGGAAAGGCTGATGTAGGAGACTTCAGTCATGTCGCGGCAGCAGTGGCACGAAGAAACACAGTGTCCTTCACTCACCCTTCCTGTACTGCATCAGTAAGAGAGCTAAGGTCATTGTTTACTTCTCCCGATAATCATGGAGAGGCCTGGACCCCGCCACATGCCATACTGTGCAAGGACTGCACCTAAACTGAAAGTTTGTAAGTGCAGCGTAGTAGCAAACATACCAGATTGAGTCCAAAGTAACTAAGCTATTTTAATCTGTATCAAATAGCTGTGTTTATATATTGGCTCTCAAGCTACCGTTTAGATTCTGTATGCAACGTGGCAATAGCAGTTTTAGAGAGTATCTGTCACTTACAGATCAACATCTAGGTTTTAAGT